TAGCCCTTGATGTTGATACCTCTATTAAATTATATTCAGGGTGTTGAAAAATCGGGGGATCACTGAAGTATGGATGGATTAACAGTAAGTCCACATGATAATTGAAACAGTCAATAATATCCCGTCCACATATTGACAACAAGAATCGAATCACACGAATCTCATTGGCGAATTAATCAATTTCCACGATCTGATTGGTCAGAATATCTTTTTACACGAGCACCAGCTTAAGAACTGTCGTCGTCGAAAGCTCACAAACGCGTAATACCAACGCCACTTCAGCGTGAAACACAAGTTCATCGCGAACCCCTCCACAACACCTTTGGGAGAGTCGTTCACAACAATCCACACCAATGTACCAGTGAACCTCAACGACTACCCTCTGGAACTTCTGCAGATTTCAGCCAATCAAGCGAACAAACATAACCTGATTGGAGGGATCCCTCTCAAACCCAAGATTTCATCGAAATGAACAACCATCCGTCGGTCGGATCCAACAACTCGATATCCGCCTCCAAGATCATCCATTCACCGCAAATGGCACTAATTTCCACAATCAATTCAACCGCGTTAATCATCCGAGCGCACTTGATGTGCATGCCGTCTTGAACAGCAACAACCGCAGGAACAAAAAGAGAGTTGAGGGTTGTTCCATAGGCAAGACCTTTGAAGTTGAATTTTCGGCCAAATATAATATTTCGGAGGTTTATCGGGTTGTTTGGATATTGAGTGGAGGGAGTTCATTTTTCGATCTTGGGACAATGTACGGCGGCAGCTCGAGCTACGGTGGTGGAAGCGATCGCTACGGCGATTCGTCGTCTCGACGCGATTATGGCGGCAGCAGCAGCTACGGTGGTGGAAGCAGCTATGGCGGTGGCAGCAGCTACGGCGGAGGCCGTTCGGGTGGTGATCGATACGGCGGCGGTGGATTCGGGGGTGGCGGCTTTGGAGGGGGCGGCGGCTTCGGCGGTGGTGGAGATTTGGGAGCCAACCTGAACACGAACATTCAGTGGGATCTCTCGAAGCTTCCTGTGTTTGAAAAGAACTTCTACTACGAACACCCGGACGTGTCTCGTCGCACTGAGGAAGACACTGTACGCTGGCGCGCGAAGCACTCCATCAGCGTCAACGGCAAGGGCGTCCCGAAGCATGTGGAAACGTTTGAAGAAGCATCTTTCCCTCGTAAGTCATACTACCGTTAAACGTGGATAGCTTGTCTCAGACAGGGGTGTCGTAGAATACGTGCTGGACGAAGTTGTCCGCCTCGGTTTTGCATCGCCCACGCCAATCCAGTGCCAAGGGTGGCCCATGGCTTTGTCTGGTCGCGACATGGTCGGGATTTCTGCGACGGGGTCCGGGAAGACTTTGGCGTTTTTGCTGCCTGCCATCGTTCACATCAATGCACAGGTACGTCACGGGACGTCGCTACTTTCAACGGCTAGTTGGTTGTCTTTGTTATGGGCACCTGCCCTCGACACACCCTGGTCTCTGTGCATCGCTGTGGGGTGGCTATGTAGATGCGTGTGGGTGAAGTGCGTTGAGTGCGTCGAACTGCGACAACCCCAACGACGGTGTGTGATGAAGCGCGTGTTTGCATGCGTAGGATCCCAAATGATCTCACGCACCAAACAACTTGCGCTCATGCACGAACGAACAATGCAATCGAGAGCCTCTTTGGTGGCGATTGCAGCTGTTCAACACACCCCACACTCATCCCGCACCCCTGCATCGCGTGCATTTCCATCGTCCCTCGGCGCGATGGGGTTTCCGTGCTAACCTCACGCTTGTGCTGCTTCATTAGCCGTATTTGCAACCTGGTGACGGGCCCATTGTGCTTGTCATTGCGCCGACTCGCGAATTGGCCGTCCAGATCAAGCAGGAATGCGACAAGTTTGGGTCGAGCTCGAAGATCAAGAACACATGCGTGTATGGTGGTGTCCCCAAGCGTGGTCAGATTGAAGATTTGTCGCGCGGCGTTGAAATCTGCATTTGGTATGGCACCTTGATTGGGAGGATTCTAGTTCTGACAGTCGACGGATAGCACACCCGGGCGTATGATCGATTTGCTCAACATCAACAAGACCAACTTGCGCCGTGTGACGTACCTCGTCCTCGACGAAGCCGATCGCATGCTGGACATGGGGTTCGAACCGCAATTGCGCAAGATTGTGAGCCAGATTCGCCCCGACCGACAGACGCTCATGTGGTCGGCGACATGGCCGAAGGAGATCGTGTCGCTCGCCCACGACTTTTTGAACGACTTTATCCAAGTCACGGTTGGGTCGTTGGAGTTGACTGCGAACAAAAACATCACGCAAGTGGTCAAGGTCATGACTGACATGGACAAGTACGGCGCCCTCATGGATTTGTTGCGCGACGTGTACGAAGGCGGCCGCATTATCATCTTTTGCGAAACCAAGCGCGGTGCGGACGAACTCTGCCGCAACCTCAAGGGCACGCGGTATGCGACCCGGGCGATCCACGGCAACAAGTCGCAGGAAGAGCGCGATTGGGTGCTCAAGGAGTTTAAGGAAGGCAAGGCGCAAATCCTTGTCGCGACTGACGTGGCCTCCCGCGGGCTTGACATCAAGGACATTCGATATGTCATCAACTTCGACATGCCCAAGAACATTGAAGACTACATCCATCGCATTGGGCGAACGGCGCGTGCCGGCATGAAGGGGACAGCAGTGTCGTACTTCACGGCGGAGAACGGTCGCATTGCTGGCGACATGATTCGTATTTTGTCGGAAGCCGGCCAGGAAGTGCCCCGTGAGTTGGAAAACCTGCGCGGGTATGGCGGCGGTGGGGGTCGTGGCGGTGGCCGTGGTGGCCGTGGCGGCGGACGTGGTGGCTTTTCCCGTTGGTAGTGAAAGTTTATATAATGACAAACAAAGACGACGCTTCGGGCACCCTCTTGACATCATGTATCTGTCGCTTTGAATACAACAGAACGCCCTTCTTGAGTCCAACACCTTCGATCGACGAAGTTGTGTCCCGTTCGATTGTTCCGGGATGTGTGAAATATACCTTGAAAGTCCGCGTTATGTTGTCATCTCAACGCCGTCGGCACTGGCGCGAGCTCACGCGATGCGTTGTCGCGCCAAGACACTATTTCAAGTCATGCCAGTTGCATCCGTGCCTCCTCTTTGCCTCTTTGCAGGAACATGGACCAGGGCAAAAGGTTCCTACGACAATGGACGGTTGCCGAATCCGTCCGCGTAACACAGTGTGGACGGTTGCCGCCCCTGTGCAGGTGGACGGACATGGGCAGCAGCACGTCCTGCGCCTCGTCACTACACGTCAACTTTATTGTACATTACAGACTGGGGAATTCCGACCAACCTACACATGCAAGTGAAACGGGACATCGTCGTCGACGAGCGTGTCGAACTTGTTGTAGTCGATCGTGACCGAGTCGGGGGTAAAATCGACGGTGTTTTCGAAGTGCTTGCTCATGACAAAGTTGTCCCAAAAGTACATCTTTCGAGCGTACACGTTTTCGGCAAACGTGCTGTCGAGTCCTGTCCAAGAAGAACGTGGTCGAGTGAATCGTCGGGACGCGTTGAAGCGACCGCAGTTGGTACCTGTAAACAGCGCGATGACGGACACACGGTACGCCGACAAGTCGTCGGGCGTTTGGAATTGAAAAAACGGAGAGTTTTCATCAATGACGTGCACCAACGTGACGGGGAGCAAAATCGACGGCCACTGGGATATCACCAGCGGAACATCCTGCATCTGCCGCAACCCAGTCTTCAAGTTGGTCAGCACCACGCCGAGTCTACACCATCGTTTCGTTCCATCTGTCCCAACGAGATATCGACGTTACCGAAAATGGCTTTCCCGAATGTCGCCGTGGTGCCGGGTGTTGGCGGCCCGAAGGAGCAGGCATCGGTGGCCGTGGTACGTGGAAAGCACGATCTTTTCCGAAAAGTGAATGTGCGCGCGGGGCCGGGCAAACTTGGACCATGCAATGCCTACATGGGGTGGGAAGAGTCTCGTCGACTGGATGTCGCGTACCTGTAAATATAGTGATAAATACGAGGCTCAACACCGACTCGACTGCCACCCACACGTTGTTGATGTAGTGGTCGGGGCTGGGGGCGACAGTACCATATCCAATCGTCGCCCACGTGTGAAAACTCATGTAGACCGCGATTTCAAACGGATGGCTTCCGTTCGCCACGTCCGGGTGTACAACCAGTTGGTCATACTACGGATCGAGTGAGACGATGACGTCGCAGAAGGACGACATACGTTCATGTAGTAGAGCAGCCCAAACGCCACATTCACCACCACCGACGAGCCAAGGATCATCAACAGAATGCGCGGCCACTTCATGTGGAGCGCAGTGTAGTAGAAACTCAAGAACGAGTACGACACGGGCACGTTCTTTGCGTGGACGCGGACAAAGCGCGGCGTGTTGGTAATCTCAATCGAGCGATCGCTGCCTGCGCTCATGGACCGACTCAGCAACCGGTCTTCCGCTCGCTCGAGCGCATAGTCGTCGCTCTGTCGAAGGAGATCGTGGACATCTCCTGACGGGGGTATTGACACAGGCAGCATGACGTCGCCAGCTAGTTGTTGATGCAAATGCACCAGTTGGTCCGCCGTGAGACCGCCCATGCTGCTGGACGGTCGCCGTTTTCGCAATATCCGCTGCGTCCCCACAGACGGCTGCAGCAACGGTTCAAACAGCGGTTCCATGTTGCCTGTGGGTGTTGACACATCTCCTTCTTTGACTCGAATTGCTCGTTGTGACGACGACCATGTCATTTTTGGCGTCGGCTTGCACAACTGGTCCGTTGTGTGTGCGTGACAAAGTCCCGGCCGCGTGGTAGGTGCCGAGTTGTGGTGTCCTTCGCCTCGGTGGTTCCGCACCTTGGCTACCACGATAGGCGCAGGCACGATTTGACTGAGCTTTGCAAAATCCACCGACACCACCATCGTTGTTTCGTCAAAGTGCAGCATCTCGGCAAATTTTTGGCCCCACTGGACCATGTCGATCGTGTACATGCGGCGTTCGATGACTGTGTCTTGCAGTGTCGAGTCGACACCGGTCATGGACAGTTGGAAAATCATCTCGGACATTTTGAGCGTGTCTTCCGTCAACCCATGCAGCGGACTCTCGGCGTCGATTACGTGCACGAGTGCCACGGCCATGCGAAACGAGATGAAGTTGGACTGCAACAGCTTGAGCGGATATTGCCGCATGACGAGCTTGCCCGCCGCACCGAGCGACTTTTCAATGCGCATCAAGTGGAGGTTGAAAGTGGCATCCATGACAACATCCGTCGTCACGTCCGTGCTTCGTGTCGCGTTAGCCACGCGGAACACGAGCGCGAGTTTATCTTTACCGTACGGTTGCACGCAACATACGACAGAAAACGCCATCTTCGCCTTGGGTTTGGCAAACTTGGCAAAGACGAGACCGGACAACGCGGCCGTGAGCAGCAACGACACAATAGCTTCTACCGTGATGACATAGTTGCTGCATCTCGATTTGGGAAACAACACGCCAAACCCAATCGTGGCCATGGTCTGGAAACTCAGGTCAAAGTTGCTTCGAAAGTCGCTGTAGTCGCCGAAGTCGTCGCACGCCGTCAGGAGTAGAGCAAAGACGGCACACATGGCAAAGTACACCACAGCGTAGAGGATGCCAAACGGCACCCATCTCATGTTGAGCAGGATGTAAATGATGTCCTTGTACTGCTTCCTTGGATTATTGATCGTCTTCAGTCGAGGAAGAAAGTTGTGTTCCTCGCGGTCCGCCAGAGCTCGCCGTCTGAAAAAGTTGGGGTTAGCTGACCCATCCCCGTGGTAGTGGATGTCGACGCCGGGCCAGTCGAATATCCAAGAGGAATGCCACGGTGCAGACAGAATTGGAATGTCCTCTTTGGACGCGTGTATGTCGGCCACGGCGGACTTCTGGAACTGGAACCTCTTCTTCGACACCATCGGACGGCCTCGAGATCTTCGGCACGCCGTTGAAAAACTCAACAAATACTGTACCACCCTTTGTCCTGAGCACCGAATGGAGTATCCGTATGACATATGGGTTATCCGGATGAGTTCATTCAACGACGGGCTACTTCAACACTATATTCCATCCATGGTTTCTACTGTGTTTGCACCTCAAATTAGTGTTAAATCAGTAATTGCTCTTGCCAAATCGACGCGCGAGCAGACACGAGTCGACCTGTGAGCCATCCGTCGTGGGAGCGGCGACATCGCAGGACGAAGGAGCTGGGTGTGGGGGGTGCATTCACATTTGGGTAAGTAAATCGGCATGGTTGTAGCCCTGACCAACCCAGCCTCTCGTCGGATGCACCGAACTGCTATGCTCGCGCCATCATGATGCAGATGACGTGACACATTGTCTCGAGATATATGATGCATCTAAGCGCTTGAGGTCAGCCATATCTTTGCAAATGTTCCACTACGTCCTAAGTAGTCGATGCAGTGGCATCTATGCACACGTAAATATGGTGGACAGAAAGGCCGACGACCAATGCATCCCGTTCGAGCATTGGTTGACGGTACTGACGTGAACATGAGCGACACATCGCGCCTTTGATCGTAAACGGTATTCAATTCTCACATTTTCCACGCAAACACATGCAGCCACCGACACAGGGTGCCTAGCTTTGAGACACAAGACCGCTTTGAATGCACCGATCTATAGCTTGCAGCGTCGCGAGTCCAGTCGCGTGGATGTTGATCAGGACAGGATACGCCACTTCGGACTCGTCGGGGTCGTCTACTTCTGGGTTGACGCGAATGAGCGTAGCTTGGCCATGACCGGCCTCCAGTACAGCTTGGACAAGCTCTTCGCAGTGGTGACGCACAGTGTGTACCTACGCATTCCGCGCACGCATGACCTACCAAGAGCTGCATCCCATGTGACGAACCCGCGTGCCGCACCCAATCTCGAGGACAACCAGACGCTTGGTCGGGTTCTCTTCCAGCACTTCGAGCACTGCATTTTCCCACGCGTGATACCGGTCCTACAGCGATCTTTCAGCGTTGTGAAATGGTCCAACTGAGTGGCACACATACAGCCACGGCTTGATTTTGAATCCAATGCTTGTCGCGAAACATGAGAACGTTTGGGCGTAATGGACCTTTGCATTGAGGGCACTCGAACCTACGCCATTACCCACATCTCTTGTCAGCAGCAACGTGCTGTCGAAGGACACGTGGAGCACGTACATGGGCGAGGTCGTGTCGTGCACGAGCATCGTCTTTGGGTCAACATCGAAGCGATAGGTGGGCGGGAGTGTCAAGATGTTGGTGGAACATGGAGGAGATCTCTCTTTCAGGCCCGCGCATTGCCAGTCCTGCAAACGTTAACACGTCGAATGATTTGGTGCGGCGATCGTACGTCGGTATTGCCATGGACATCGTACACTTCGTTCTTGGCAAAGCCGCGAGTGCAATGCGAGTCAACCTGTTTCCAACTGAGTGTAGGAAGAATGCCTGTACAACACGACAAAATCGACTCACGTTTGAGGTAAAGATGAAGAATGGTGCAGTTGTTGTGTTGGTGGAGTTGTCTGCGAGTTTGTCCTTGACCAGCGTCGTTGTGAACCGCTCCTTCCATCGCTTGAGGATGTCGTAGCCTGGATGGGGGGTTGTGTTCCGATATAGATTGATCGAATCGCCCCAGAACCCGAGAAATACAGAATAGTCCTCGTACACCTACAAGTGTCATCTTGGTATGGCGGAGTTGCCGCAGCGCAGAGAGTTGTGGAGGGCGTACCCAATACGGATCGCACAGGTCCTGGTAGTCGACTCCCATCTCGTAGTATGCTTGGACATTGGCAAGGTCTCTGGGTAGTGATCGCAACGGTATAAGAAGATGAACTTCATGCACAAGTGTACTTGTAAACAGGAAGACCAGAGTCCGCTACATGGTCATATTGATCATGTGGACCGCCAACGCTGATGGTAGTACCTGAAAAGCCGGCGCCGACTGCAACCAACAAGATATCCGCGCGAAGAATCTTTTCTAGATGAAGACTGGGCCTTGGCACATGAGCGGCCTCAAGCGACAACCATACCTGCGGCGGTCACGATCGCTGCCATCGGAAGCGCGTCCATCGAGTTGATGTGGGGTACCTTTGCCAGCGACGATTCTGAATTGAAGTGAGGTCCATTTTTCATAAAACTTGCCAAATCACGAAACAAATTTCATTTTTTCGCACGAAAGGCCATTCGTACTTAATTGACACTTTAGTTTTCACTTGCAATGGACGCGGCACTCCGCGCGGCGGCAGGTGTGTCCGACGACGATGGATCGTCCGTGCTGACAACGCAGACAATGTGTGCGCTAGACGACGTTCTATCGGCCGACTTCCTCCTTGTGGCGGTTGGCGCTGGCTTTTCAGGTATTGATTCGGTGGCACGTGGATGAACGAAGCTAGTCAGTGACCCTTGATGATGGGATAGCGGACTCGGGCCTACCTGTGTACAAGTACGATCTAGGTCCACACGTCACCTTCCATGACTAACGAGGAACGAAAGTGACATTGCCAACGTGGCGGCGTACAAGGCCATGGACATCGAGTACCGCGACTTGTGCGATGCGCAACTGGTAGTGAGAATTGCGTTCTTGTTGCGCGCTCGTCACGAATCGCCTTTTGACGAGTAGGCCCATGTGAATCTCCCGCTGTTTTATGGATTTTGGGGCGACTGTTTCAACATGTACCGCGACACAAAGGGCCACGCCGGATACGACATTCTACGCAAGTGGAAGGAGCTCGTGTGTGCAAAGGGTGGCGGCGCGATCATGGCCGCCCTTTTGGCTGACCAGTCCAGCAAATTTCACGTCGGAGATGTCACGAATGATCCATTCTTTGTGTATTCGTCGAACGTACGAACCGCCATGTTGTGCACGGGGCTGGACGTGTGGACATAGGTGGACGCCCACTTCCACCAACACTTCTCGGTCAACGAAGTGTACGAAATCCACGGGACCACCGAGGTTGGCCGATAAAGTCGACGTTTGGCTAAGGGTTATGAGCTCGTAGTACTGGCAATGCGCAGGTGCGACCGATGGCGTGGCGCCATGCCAAGGCACGTGGGAACTGCCCCGCGACTTTCGGTTCACTGTCGACAAGGCGTCCATGCTGGCTCAGCTGCCCAGTCCCTTGCCACCGTACGTGATTTGTTTGCATGATCACCACCTTCCTTGAAAGCATGCTCTGTCCCTCCTAGATTTCTCCAATGTCCGCAATGCCACGGTCCAGCTCGACCGAATGTTCTCATGTTTGGCGACAAATCGTGGATTCCAAACGATCGAGATGAGGTGGCGTCGTCATGACGCCGGCGCATCATGATGTTTCTCGCGAAGTAGGCTCGGTATGTTGCGTGGGAAGCGGCTGTGGAAGAGGTGAGTGATCCATCGTCTTGCCCACCACCGTGCGATACGCGTCGTAGGCATTAGTCCGCGACCGAAGTAAGCGCCTCGTCGTGTTGGAAATTGGATGCGGCATGCGAGTACGGTCACAACGGTGGCAGTTTGACGAGACAGCTCATGAACTCGTCTGGTTGCGGCGTAGGTACCGAGTGTTCGGATGGAGTGCGAAATGGTCGCGAGGGATATCGAGGAAAAAACGCAGTCCACCAACCAAGTCCGCCACATTCGTATAAATCCGATGGATGCCGACGCAACACCATCGCCGACGCTGCAGCACATCCCATCGACGGGTCTTGCTGCACTCTCCGTGATGGACCACCACATGAACACCGTCATCCTTGCCACCGACCGAGCTGCTTAGAGGACTAAACCTTCGCCAACCGGTCGAGAAGGACGGTGTTGGGCGAAATAGAGCCATCGATTCACGGAAACGTCGAGTCCACTCGCACATTTATCACGTGGGTGGGTTGTTGCTCGTCTCCGTAGCGACCATTGCTGTCTTGTTCCATTCATTCTTTCGTCGTATTTGAGGCCATCGCGACAGAATTTCGTCGCTGACTTGATGTGCATACCCACGTACCATTATGTGCAGCGCACTGGGGACGAGCCGGCGCTGTGAGTGCATGGCCGGTGTCGATCTTCTTGAACGACCTGTCGACATTTCCACCTCGTATCGATGGTTCGATCAGTCGAACTTAACGAGTGCACCAACCCGCGCGCCACTCGACCATGGCGACAACAAAGATCCGCGAAGCGGCGGGTACGTGCATGATGGATATCCTTGAGGACTGCACGAAGGGACTTTGGTAGAGAAGATCCGTGGTGCCGACTATCTCTTGATCATGACGGGGGCTGGATTCTCAGGTATCGACCTTCCTTTGGCGGTCCTCATGGGACGGGTGGTACAGCGGACTCTGGCCTGCCCGTGTACATGTAGGTCCACCATGCATGCGTCGGAAAAGGAGCACGTGGGTCACATACCGCCACGTTTGCAGGGACATTGCCAACGTCGATGCGTACAACAAGATGGGACTGGAATACCACGATCTTTGTGACCCATGCTGGGTGCGCGTTGCCAGTCCTGTGACGTGAATGATGAGTTGGATCGTAGATTCGTGATGACCTGCCTGTGTTTTATGGGTTTTGGGGCGACTGCTTCAACATGTACCGGGACACCACTCCCCATGCTGGTTACGCGATCCTCCAGCGATGGAAGGCGAGAGTCGTCGCCAAGGCAATGGACCAGCCCAGCTCGGACAACCACGGCAACGACGAATCGACTCCTGATCCGTTCTTCTCATTCACATCCAACGTACTCCACGTCTGCCTCATCCATCGCGTACATGCCGTCCATGGAGCCTTTGGTGGTAGGTGGATGCTCACTTTTTGAAGTTTTTTACGCCCAACGAAGTGTACGAAATTCATGGCAACACGGAGGTACGTTCGGAGGTCTTCCAACCAAGGGGGTGGTCATCGAGGGGTTTCTAGAACTGGCAATGCGCTGACGAGTCGTGTTCTCGCCGGATTTGGACGCTGCCACCGCCCTTTCGTTTCAACATCGACCTGAACACGATGCGGGCCGTGGACACCGACGCCGCGCAGTGCGTTGATTTTTGCCTGAACATGTGTACCAAAACCTAAGGGAGGGATGTGCTGCATGGCTGCAGAGGACTGACGTGCTCCGTGTGTGCCGGTCCTGCGCGGCCGAACGTGCTCATGTTTAACGATAACAACTGGATTCCGAACCGACAGGATGAAGTATGCCCTTCCGAGAGTTTTACGGGGGGCGTGGCTCGCCCCACCCGTCACTGTCCTTGCACTTCATCGTGCCCATGCTCATGTGCCTCGTGGATCTGTAGCGCCGGTACAATGCATGGATCGGTCACGTTCAAGAAGTGCGTTAACGACTCGACCTGTGTTGCAAATGCGAATCTCATGGTCGCCACCATGCTAGGCGCTGTGCAAAGACAAAACGAAGAGACTAGTCGTTCTCGAAATTGGATGCGGCACAAGGGTACCACAACTCTCGTCTACATACGTGGCTACAACGCTCCCGGTGTATGACTGCGACGTGGTGTGTACAGGTGCCGTCCGTGCGCATCCAGAGCGAACACGTTCTCCTCAAAATGATCAAGCGAACGATCCATACCCTGGCAGACACGGGCGAGTTCCAAGCCCATTTAATTCGAGTGAACCCTGTGATGGAGCCGGACACGTACAAGTGGAAAGACATCGATGACCACGTGCCGCCCATGACAAAGATCCAAGGGTTTGGGCTCGCCACGTTGCAAGCCATCGACCAAGAGCTTGGCTCGGTGGAATTGTAGGCCACTGGCAAGTGCCGTCAATGCCGTTTCCCGATCGGTCGCCGAGATGTTGCCCCAGTGTGCATCCTCTCGGTGGATTCAAGCATGCATTTCAACAGGCATAGCGTTCAAGCATGGTCGGTCCAGGGAACGCCGTCGATTATTCATTCGATCGGCACGTGCACGACACGATCGACAGGGTGCCGATGCACCGTGGCATGAAGTTTGCCCGTGTCGTAAAGAGCTTTGTACTTGGCGCACACGTCGTCGCGTTTGTGGGTGAGTTGGTTGACCGTGTCTTGGAACCGACTCCCTCCGCGCTGGATGAGGAGTGTCAGCTGCGACGACAGCAGACTTGCCATCGTCGAGTAGCTCTCTGCCATGAGAGAGACATCGCCGACGGAATTGGCCGCCGCCATGAGGTGTTCACATTCCGCGAGAGCCTTCTCGTACGCGCCCTGTTTGTCGTGTACGTTCACCATCGCTCTACGTCATCCATGTCGGTCCATGTCACGGAGCTAGCGCGTGGCGTTCGTACTTGCTCGCGAGTGCCTCCAAGCGTCGGTCGCCAGCTTCGCCAGCGTACTTTTTCTGCCGTAGGAAGAGCTGCAGTGGCTCATCCGTCGACTCGATCGACTACGTAGCATTGCATTTGCGTTCAAGAGAGATGGAATCGAGATGAATCGTACGATGCCGCGGCGCTTCATTTCGGTCGCCGCGGTTCCCATGGCAAAATACGCGAGCGCTTGCTCTTTCTTGTCGCCCAGCACCGTCGCTATTTTCTACTTCCGATGCCTGATGTCAGCAATTCATACATCCTTCGATGGAACCCGACCAAGTTGGTTCGAAAATGATGCATTGCGTGGCTGGAATCGCCGGAGAGGAGGTAGTTCACCCCGAGATTACAATGGGCTCGCAACTGCCCGTACTTGTCGTCCTGTGTTGTAGCAATGGCCAAATCTGCCTCAAAATGCGCCGCCGACTCGTCAAACTTCGACTCCATGACGTGGACAGTGCCAAGCTGGGTTGCGATGTGGCTTTCGGCGACAGGACTTCGGGCAAACCGCGCCGTTTGTAGTGCTAGGATGAGATCTGCATGCGCGTCGTAGAGGTTTTCTCTCGAAAAGTTGAGCATCCCCCGGCATCCTTGAGCCTATCCAGCAGTCAAACTGAACTCTGTGTCTTCATGAGATTTCCGCGCCACACACCAGGGCAGCGAGCGCCGGCGCGCTGCAACTGTTGGCCACTTCAATAGCCCGCGTGAAATGCTCTTCTGCAATGGAGATTTCGTTCCGTTCCGCAGAGCAGACGCCCATGTGGTACAGTGCGATGGCTTGATGTTTCGCAGTCGACGCCACGGATAGACACCGCTCGAAGAGTGTGAGCCCCACGTCAAAGTTCTTGGCCTCAAACACGAATGCCGCGAGGTTGTTGAGGCAGCTGACGGGACGTGTGAGACCATGGACTTGACGCTATTCCACTGCGCCCAACGTACCATTCCACGAGTTTATTATCGCAACGCGCTTCGGCTAGTGCCAGGGCGGCTGTGGCATGCTCGATGGCTTTGGGTAGCTGCTTGCTACCTTGTTCAGATGTTGCAAGTACTATCATCGACATGTGAGGTGCCCTGATGGAGACAATACCGTCCACAGTCCATCGTACTCGTCAGGGCGGGAATGAGGATGGCCGTATCTGGCTCCTGCGGCGCATCAATCAGTAGGAAGGCCGACAAAGACTTGACGACCTTTGCATCGACGACCAACGCTGCGAATTGGCCCGATTGTACAAATTGCTTGGACCGTTGATGAGCCAATGCCAAGTTGACACGGGCGAGGTTCATGGCTCTTGAATTAGCCCTGGCAGTCGCCAACGTGAGAGCTTCAGTGAACCACGCGATCGCGAGGTCGATGCGACCCGATTCGAAGTACATGCTGCCGATGTTGTTGAAGCACGCTTCCTGGGCGACAGGCTCTGCATGAGGTGGTCAGTTCACCACAATACTGAAGGACAGACACATTGGGACACACCCCCTGCTTCTTTGCGAATGTCGAGCTCTCGCTCAAACTGTTCGATGGCCAACTCAAACTCCCGACCAGCGACGTAATGGTGGGCCAGGTGGTTGTGTGCTCTGGCGACTTGGGCCTGCGTGCCTCGTTTCATGACACCATGCAGCTGATCTTGGAGCTCGACCAGAGTGCTCTTGTACGTTGGGGTGGCGGAACTCGCCGTCTCGGTTGCCATGAAGTCTCCCTCGACGGAACCGTCGTCGGTTACTTTCCAGCGGCCCGTTTCACAACCCAGCGACAATCCCCATGCGCTATGGACGCGGCACACGACAGCCACAACGACCGATCGTCCCGAGAAAAGCTCCCTTTGCACTAGCAGATGAGACGTTTATACGTGAAGCCTCATGCATTCTTTTGGTCTTTATGGTCCTCGACTAGCATGCTCGCAAATAGTGCAATGAATTCGTCGCTGCGGCTATCGGAGGGTTGATTGCGCCCTATGGGCCAGTCGTGCACTTTTTTCCAGTGGATGTTGCTGCTGTCCACACGAATATGCAGTCGTCGCCACGGCATGAGTTGAGCCACGTCGAGAAGGGTCGAGTTGATGGCTACCCGTTGGCTACAGAAGGACAGATCATCGTACAGCAATCGATTTGTGGTTGAGCGTACTGGGCGTCAAACTCGACGTTATCTGAAGTGAATTGCCGCACATGGCTAGCTTCGACCTCGGAGATATCGAGTCGTGGAAACGCCCGCAAACACTGCGTCAGGATGGCGTCGTCACCGTCGACACCGGAATGTGCCAAGGTCCACTGCCATGACGCATCCTTGGCGGGGCGAAGTGGAATTGCAGGCACCGCTCGAGTAAGACACGCAGAAGCATGCGGCACCAAGTGATCTCGAGCGACTAGACCGACCAGCGTGCGACGTCGAAACTGCTTCAACGCTACAACAAATGCAGAATCTACCGGCATGCGTCAAACCAAAAGGACGAACCGAAACTTCTCAAACCTGGCTGACTCATTTGCTCCAACACAGAATTGGGTTCGCCTACCGCGTTGGACGTGTCACCGATTGAACAACAAACGTCGTTGCAAGGACTACAGCTGCACCTTCGAGCAAAAGATCACGTCCCGTTTGCCCGTACAATTTATTCATGGACAAGATTCCATGCACCGCGCGCTGCACCACGCGCTAGAAGTGCCGGCCATGTCAACCTCGTCCAAGAGATGACAAGGGAGCAGGTACCTTCCAGACGCCGCCACCCGGTCGACGAGATCCCAGATGCGGAGTGCACAGCGTGGAAAAGGATACTGGGGTGATGCACAGCGCAGAAAAGATCACTTGCAGAAATGCCAAGCTGTATCGGGCAATGAGCCCACCAAACGAGTGACCGACGATGCTGAACAATCGTGGGTCGGAGCTGTCCACGTCGTAGCGGAGGAACATGCCCAAGGTCTCGATGGCCAATATCGTGCCACAGAAAGCAATACCGCGCTGCGTCAGATGCCCGGCATTGCCAGAACTTTGCAGCACAAGGCTGTCCCCAGGCTGAAACGAAGAAAGGAGCGCCGCTGCGAGTTTGTCCAAGTCGGTGGGTGAGCTATTGTTTCCGTGTACAAGTACAAATATGTTGGAAGGTAGTGACTCAAGCGGAGGTTGACGTGGCTGCTGACCGGTCTCGGGCGAAAGACACTGCAAACCGAGCAAAGTTGCATCCACGTGCTGGCGATGAGTCGCCCACATTGCATGCAGCATCGGGTTGTCCTGAGTGATGCCGCAGTTCACATCCGCCTGCTGCTACGCACGCAAGCATGATGCGTGGATTGCAGCTGGAAGAGTTCCTACCCGCTGGACGCGAAGATGATGCAAATGCCGAGACGTCGGCGAATCGGTCGGTGCTGCCATGTTGGTGTGCCACAGTTGGGATACACATGTCCTTCGAATCGAAGTTGCAGTTGTCGAAGTTCGAAGAAAGAGCTCTCCACCAGTGTCGCAATGTCAATGCAACGCATTGTTCGCGTCGGCAGTGCGCTGGCCAAGGCGGCGGCGCCTCCGGCTGGATCGAGGCGATTTTCCCAATTCATTGGGTGAGCTCTCGTACACAACAGATTGATAAGCTGGACTGATGCAACGTTTTGCCTTGTAATCGTGTAGTGGGGGCGTAGATACCTCGAGCAACACTGTGACGTCGCGAACCAACGAATCCATCGTGTTCCAGTCCAATTCCACGTGGCCTTGGTACGCTGGCAAGGGAGCTGCCATCCAGGTGTATGCAGCGGCGGCATTCACGGCTCAAATCTTGTATACACTACCGGATGGTGCGACCAACTTAGAGGTATGTGGCCCACAATGTCGTGGACAGTAGCGACGAGTTACGCGTGGTCGCCAATAGATCTTCGCATCGGCTGGGCCAATGGTCAGTGCTTCAGGTAAGTTCCACCACCAAGTCTATCGTGATCGAACTTGGACCTGCAGCATTTCTCTTCTACGGCACCAAGTACTTGTGCGAGCGAGTTGTGAAGTCGGTGGCGGTGTGCCGCACCATCGGGCAACGTGGTGCGCCTCGTCAACCGTTGCGTCAGGCCGCTAAAGTGACCGTGGTCTAGATGAGTTTATGAAGGTCACGGTCGACGGCGTCTTTGTCCCCAAGTCGTTCCACGTACTTCCTCGCGGTACGTCGCCTCTGTCGAGTCAGTTCCTCATCGTGATGTGATTCAGACGTGAAGCTCCTTTCGAAGGACGAAAGTGGAATGTACACTTTCAAAATTCAGCGCACGACGTTTTGGTTGGACTCGTCAAAGGCGGCGAAGCTGGAGGCCAAGAGCCTCGATATTTTGCTCAGTGGCAAACCGCTGCTAGTGCGCCACGACAAGCAGTCCAAGCAACTTCGTCGTGCCAAGTAGAAGCTCCATAAACAAACGTTTTCACTGCCTCAACACTCTTTTATTCGTCGTCGCTATCGTCTTCGTCGGTCGAATCTCCGTTTAAGAGATTCCACACACTTGTGTGGCCGCCAGATCCTTGCGGCGCCGACGACGCGGTGACATCTTGATCACCACTCTCGTCATCGCTCCCGTCGCCACACTTTTTGTTGTCACTCAAAGAGGTCATGGCCAAAGCTTCGTCCAAGTGATTCAGGCGAAAGACGGCATGTTCTCCGCAGTACGAATCGTGTTGTGTCCCGTCCAAGTACGGCCCCGTGTAGTCGGGTGGGTAAAAGTACAGTGGAAGCACCCCATCCATGCAATCTCGGATGAGTTCGGCGCCGGCACGGTGATGGTCCGGTCGGCCGCGGCGTTCGGTCTTGTATCCCTTCTTCTCTGCATACGCTTCGCAGATCGTCCACGACGACCATTCCTATAGACACAGCGCGTTAGAACAAGCGACCATAGCGTGAATGCGGGACTACCAAGGGTTCCATGTAACCATCAAACTCTTGAACGCGCGGAGCCAAGTTCAATATTGTCTCGAGAGGGGCGTGCTCGGACAGGAATCGGACGGCCGAGAACGGTTCACGGGTCTACCTCGACCACGGAGTGACAAGGGGGCATCACTCTGGGAAACGACGCACCTGCGAGTACGGAAACAACCCGCTCAGCTCTTGCATGTACTTGGGTACGCCCGCAAAGGGGAACACTAGGCCCGGGCAATCGCAAATGCAAATCTGCGGCGCAATGTAAATGCTTTGTAGGCGCTTCGTGTGCCCTGGAGTGTGGGACACACTCACGAGCTTCTTTCCTGCCAGTGCATTCAGGACACTCGACTTGCCCACGTTCGGATGGCCAATCAACCCGATCGTGATCGTCAACCGCTTCAACTCGTCCGCTTCGGCTGCAGCCACCGCCGCCGCTTCCGCGTACCCCTCCAAGGGTACAACATTGTGTTTCTGATGTTTGTGGATATCGCGGTTGCATCGAGCACAGAGCCGAAGGTCGCGGAACGATGTCGCGCAGGTTTGACAGCTCACGACGGGAGCGTCGTCACCGCAATAGTCGCACACGTCGCGTAGTTCCCGCTCCTCAGCTTGCAGCTGCTTGGCCTTTTCCTTATTCTTTCGACGACTCTTCTTGGTGATGGTGGTTGGAGTCGCAGTCTCGTCATCGTCGCCATCAATGCCCTCTTCGGTTTGAAGGACACTATGAATGACGGCAGTCGCTACGTCAGGTTCGATGCCACATGCGATCAGGATGCTCTGGGCGCCTTGGACAGCGCAAAGGTCGCCGACTTTCAGCTTTTCACTACTCGCATCGTGTACAATTAGATGGAAGCTCAAATATGAAAACGCGTCGAACACACCTGAGCACTTTGCGGCGTCCGTTCAGGTCTGCCTGGTGCTGAATGGAGTTGGATCGACTGGAAAAGTACAAGAGTGTAGCTTGGGGAAACCGCTTGGTCAAGAATGCGCGCCAAGCAAGGGCAAGGTCCCATGGGATGAGATCGATCTTGTTTAGTACAATCACGAGGGGCTTCTTGATGCGGTCCGTGACGTAGTCGTAAACGGACGGCGGAATGTGCAGCAGCGGGTTCCGAATATCTGCCACAATCACAATCTACTCATCGAGTCTGTGGTTAGAACGAGTATCAAGTAGAAGCCTACGTGAGTTCATACATGTGTGGACCGCTCCAAGACGCGCCACAGTTCACGCCATACTTCCAAGTTGTGCTCAAAATGATTGAGGTCGTCGGAGTCGTACTTGTCGTGGATGGTAGCGAGCCAGTCGTCAAACATGATGCTCTCGTTGTCGTGCACTATAGATCGCCAAGTGAAAACGTTGCCAGGCACTGTCACGTACGTTTTTCCTTGGACTGCTTATAGTTCCAGGACGGTCGCTGGGGAAAGTCCAAGAGCGGATCTCGAGTCAACTCTTTCCACAGGAGAGGCTTCAAGCGATGGGACATATCGATCGGATACTGCCCTTCCATGATCCGCAACTGCACCTGCTCCTTGGTTTCTTTCACAAAGAACGACGACACTTCCTTGTCGACCACGTCTTTACTCTGGCGACCGAGTGACGCCGACAGCTTTAGTGTCGACGTGCGAATACCCTTGAGATTGCTCAAGTCCAACGGTTCGTCGGACCCTTCGACAAAGAACGGCTCGTTTGTGATGGCGTTCATGTCATCGCGGCGCTGCTGGATGCGCGCCTTTTTCTCGCGCAACTGTGCTTTCTTTTGCTTGCCACTGAAAGATGAAGCCGGCCCCTTTGACTTTTCAATGCGCTTCGCCTTTAGCTCGTTCAGTTCATCGCGCTTCCGCTGAAGGAGCGTCGCTTCCTGGAGTCGCTTCGCCACGAGGTCCATCGTCGGCGCGTTTCCTCTCTGGACCTTGAAGTTCCTCTGGCCAATGCTGCCTTGCGTACCAACATTTGAAAACCCTTTGATATTTAATAAGGTTTTTTCGATGGAGGTTCTGTCGGCGATAGCTGTAACTTCGTCGATGGAAAAAATATTTCTCTACGGAGAATACAAATATCAAGTTATCATTGACGTTCGTGTTAAAAATACAAAATCTGTGCTACGGATACGAACGCTCTGTGACCAAGACATCTATCCACAACCACAATGAGCTCCCATGACTCGTCTCGCCGCGGCGGAGCGCCAGCTGCCAAGGGAAAGAAGAAATCCAGGTGTGTACACCGCATATGAAGTCGAATGAGTATGACCTGGTATGAACGTAGTACCCCCACGTCCAAGAAGGAACAAGCACCTGCACTGTCGCCAGCTGGAAAGTCGACACCCCCCGGTTTCACCGCGGCTGCGTCGACAGTGTCGCCAAACACCAAGACTTCCGATGAGGACAAATCGCACCAAAAGCGCTTGCTGCGTCATCGCGCCCTTTACATCTTCTTGTTCTATATGGGTCGTGCCGTCGAAGTCACGTTGACAGACCAGAGCAAGTACACGGGGGTACTCGACTGCATTGACCCCGACGACTTCACCGTCGTCCTCAAGAACACCCAGCGCGTGACACCTGGCAGCGACCCGTTTGAGACAGGAAGCACGTTTGTCATCCAAAAGTATTTGCTCGCGCACATTACAACGACGGGGCATCCCAAAGAAGACAACCTTGCCAATCGAGGACATGGCCACCCGCAACAGCTTGCTGCAGGGCAATCCTTCCAAACTGACAGCGACATTACGAACAACACCAAGGCACACTTGTACGGCCGTGAACTCCAAGCGGCATCGTCGTGGCTGGACCCTTCATTCGACAGCGGCGAGTTGGACGCTCGCGGCGGCAAGGTATCCATCATGCCTCCGCCACGACATTTATGTTGACAGGGCTCTATACCTGTAGACCTCGTGGAACCAATTCGAAGTCAACTCGAAACTATTTGGGGTGAAAGACACGTACGATGAAAACTTGTACACGACGAAGCTGGACAAGTCCAAGATTTCGCACGAGCAATCGAGGGCCGCCGAGAAACTCGCGCGGGAAATCGAATCCCAGACATCGCAGAACCACCACGTTGCAGAAGAGCGCGGCAACTACACGCACGACTCGATTGACGAAGAAGCGCGGTACAGTTCTGTGGCCAGGCCATCAAAGTCCATTGACATGCGTACGTCCTTCGTTGCAAGAACGCAAAACATCATGGACCGAGTAGAGTCAAACCTTCCACGCAGCGCCAATGCATACATTCCCCCGGCACTCCGCAAAGCCGAAGAAGCCAAAATGCCGGTGCCGCTTTCCCCAAAGTCGAAGCAAACCGCCGCCACATCACCGAAAGCAGTCGTGAAACCTGCGTCTCCCCGGAAAACTGCTCCCCAACCTCCTGTGGTAAGTGTGCTGGCATACCACTACATGTTTCCCGTCGATTCAAGGTTGGAGTTTTAACGACCAGGAAAACGAGAAAGGGAATCCGACGTTGCCCAAGGCTGCTGCAGCACCGGTTGCCACCACGGAGAAGAAAGCAGAGAGCAGTGCATCGTCACCACCAATTCCTTCAGCTTCAAAGAAGGGCCTGAACCCAAACGCGAAAGAATTCAAGCTCAACGCGTCCGCGTCTGCGTTCGTGCCGAGTTTTTCGATCCCGGCCCCCGCGCCTGCCGTTGTGTACCACGCGCCTCCCCTGCATCCTCAATACGTTGGCCATCACCAAGTGCCGTATGGAGTCCCGTCGCACTACGTCGATTCATGGATGCATGACACGGTGTACGATCACGACATGGATTCCGACAGCGTGTCTGTGCCGTATCATTACGGCACCCATGTCATGATGCAAGGCCCTCCGATGCACCACCCCCACATGGACCAGTACCAACCGGGCATGGTCGATCCCATCATGTATGGAGGGGGTGGGTACCCTCCGGTCGCTGGTCCATTCTACCAGCCTCCTCCTCACCACCACCACCACCCAGTCCAAGTTTCATTTGGAGGGGCCACTCCCCAACAAAGTGGTCGAAAAGATCAGCACTTTGTACGTCATCTCACTTTATCGAGGAGGTTGACAGAGGACTGAAGTGACTTGTACAGGCCACCCCGCCGCCGCTTCCTCGATGAGTGCTGCCGCCACCACCCACCTTTGCAAAACCCACCAAAATATACCAAAACTTTTCTTGCACTTGAGTTATCCTGGCCAAGGCAAACATGATAGCCGACACATCCAGCGGCGGTGTCTCGCGTGGCCAAAAATGGTCGGCGGCGACGAATTCTCTCGAGCAGTTTTCCTTGGTTGAAACGCTCAATTCACCCGTGCAGCTAGCATCACCGTGCAGCGACATGAGCACCGTCCTCCCGTCGATCCATCGAGGCGGTGGCATGCAGGCTCCGCACCCCAAAGCCCATCCACGGGTGCCGCCGTCGTCGTCGTCCCAAAACAATGGCGAAGCCGAACGGACGCTGGCCGACGAGTACTTTGATCGGATCTGCGCGCTCGAGAACGAAAACGAGAAGTCTCGAGGCGAAATGCGCCAACTGCGATCGCTCCTGTCCAACAACATCCAAGGTCGAGAGGACGAGACAGCATCCGCGCTGACATTACGTACGTTCGGTTGCCTGGGACTCCATCGGCTGATGCGGCATCTTTCACTAGTCCAGCAACAAGTCACCACCCTCCAGGGCGCGTTGGCGTCGAAACTGCAGGCGGACGCTGCGGGCCACGAAAACGAAAAACAAAAGGCGGCTCTACTGTTTGGCGAGGTCGTTGTGCGCGGCATGTCGGGAATTGAACGTGCTGCATTGCGTGCAGGTAGTTCGCGTCGGCAAACACGTCGAGTCTCTCGAGCAGCAACTGCAACAGCAACTCACGGCGCTGGACCAGCGAATACAACACGTGGCCGAGACCAAATCGGCAGACTTGGTCCGTGCCCACGCGCTATCGCAGCAACATTCCCACGAGGTGAACCAACCTCTTCCTTTCGAATGGTGCCGAACGACTCGGTTTTACGCAGGCTCTCGTACGCGATCACACCCAATCGATTGAAGAGCTTCGGGCGTTGGTGGCGTCGATGCGGAGCACTGTCCTGCAGGTCAAGACCGACCTGGAGGCCGACCGGAACGAGCGGTGGAAGGTAGTGCCACCTCCCACTGTTTCCCCGAGTCCCAATCAAGGGAGGATGCGGCTAGGTCGAGCTGGAGAAAGCACAGACTGTGGCACACGGAAAGGCAGATGCTGCGTCGTGGTCCGAAGTCGAGATGCGATTGCAAAGTCAACTGGACCGCCTCAATAATCGCGTCGCCATGGACAAGACGGAGATGCTTCGAATGGTCGAAGAACAGCGCGACACAGCCATGGCGATCGAGGCGAAACGAATGGCCCACATCGTACAAGATACCAAGCGCATGACAGACCACGTGCTGGGCCTCGAGCAATGGATTCAAAATGAAGCGAGAGCGCTCAATCACATCGTACAGGTACCCGTTCATGCCACGCCTTGCTAGACCACTGAAGGGACGTGTCGGAGCAGAGTCTCTCGACCGACTGGGACTCGAGGTTTCGAACTCTGGCCGACGAAGTTGCGCGGGAGGTGTCGACGCGAAGTGCCGCGTACCAGCAACTTGACGACGACATGCGAAGCCAGTGGGCTGACTTGCATGACGCGACCCGCGACGTGACGGTGCATGTTCAACATCGGTTGAAGGAAATGGAAGACATCATGCCGATGGAGATCAAGGCGCGGCAAAAGGGAGACGAGAGACTCAAGAAGCGCATCGAGGGCCTTGCCAAATCGCTGACGCAACTCCTCGACTCCCTCCGGAACGACGTCGAGTCCGGTCGAAGCGCCACAACGGTGCGCGTCAACGGGATTCTTGCGACGCAGCTCGAGATGACTACATCGATCGATCACATCACTTCCAAGTTGCACAAACAGCTCCAGACCGTCCAAGAAGACATGCGTGTGGCGCTCGCAAATGCGCTGCACATCACAACCCGTGATTTCACCGACCGGTAGGACGTGGATGGGGCTGCGACAACTTTTGCACTGACCACTCGTGCAGGTTGGCTGCGGCTGCCGACGTCACGCAGACCGTCGAGCGCTTGCAAAAGACGATGGACGAGCGGCTGGAATTGATGCGGCAAGGGTGGGCGAACATGGACAATAGAACGCAGGACCAACTCGCTCAAGTCCATGCCCATGTGGATAAAGGGGTCGCCGACATGCACGCGCGGCTGCTGGCCGTCTATGGCGACGTCGAGAAGAGCCACGTTGAAGTCACGCAGCAGAACTTCGTGCACCACACTGCGTTGCGGACTCAGCTCGCCGCCTTGCAAACTGCACAAAACGTGGTCGAGTCCAACCTGCGAGGGTCCGTCGAGCATGCCGTCGGATCGTTGAATGCGGCATGGACACGATCGTTGGAGGACATGCGAGTCGCGACTGCCGTGGAGCAATGCGTCGCAAACGTTGTGAGCCAAGTGGTCGACGACGCGGCGACGGAAGCCATGGGAAACATGGCCTGGAACACACAGCAGGGCTTCGAGTGGCAAGCACAACACACGAACGATGCCATCTCCGCCGCCGTGTTTGATGCTCGCGTCCGACAACAAGCCCAGGCGAGCATCGACCACGTTGCGAATCAAATGCGCACGATCGACGCACGGTGCACCGACGCCATCGCAAGGCTCGGCGACAACCAAACCCACGTTGCGGGCCAAGTTCGCCAAGTCCAAGAAACGCTAGTCGCCATGGCATGGAACATTGAAGAGCGATCGGTGCACGACATTGTGTCGGACGTGCTGCGAGGTTGTGCCACGGCTGTTGCGAGTGCTGCCACGGCACACGAGATGGCGGGGCAATTGCAGGTCCTCTCGGCATGATCCGTTTTGACTCTGCTGACGACCTGTCGATTCCAGGACGTTGGGGTCCACCTTCGCCAACTTGATGTCGAAGTCCAAGTCCTACGGAACAATGTTGACGAAGTGCGCATGGAAGCGAAGCAAAACGACGAGTGCGAGCGACTGCGTGCGGCCATGGCATCCATACATGAGCAGGTCAACGCCCTCGCCGCGGCGTTGGCCGCGGTGCAGCGCGCACCCATGGCGGCGCCTCCCACCGATTACACTTCATTTGAACTGTAATGTTGGAATATTTAAGATGGTTATCGTAGCCTTGCCGACTGAGTTCGCTTGAGTCCCATCAGGGACGCTGATGACGTTGTGGACGACGGGCACGTCATGTGGAGCGGGTCGGTGATAGCGCGGGGTAGACTGCTAACTGGTGTTGCAACATCTGACGGCGGGGTAATCGCAACGTACCAACCCCACTGGGGCGACGCGCTTTGCAAGTCGTGCTTGGTGTGGGTTTCTGAGCCCGCGCTGTCTTCTGCTTCCCGTTTGTCTGGGGTCGTGATGGCCAATGTTTGCAACTCGTCGAGAAGCGCGTCATCGTCTTCATGCCCGTTCGATCCAAGCCCCACGTCACAATCGGTGGGACTGACGGTATGTTTCGTGGGCTCTTGGGACCGCGAGGCGTCCGTCTTGACATGCACATCGCACCAACTCACTACTCGCTGCCTCACATCACCCGTGGTCGTTTCGTCGGGAGTTGCCGTCGTTGCTCGAAAGTACGTGACAATGCTGATCGCCGTGGCCCCTACAGCGGCGGCAGTGGCGACCACCGGATGCTCCTTGATCCACTTCACACTCGACGACAGCTCTTTGCCCGTGGGGAAGAAGCCATAGCTCACATCGGCCATGGGATCGGCGCGGTGGGTGTGAATATGGCCCATCCGAATGACCCTTCGTTCAAACAAAGTTTCTCGACCGACTTCGAAGTTCGACAGGTTGCCTGCTCTCAATTGAGCCAAACCCCTTGAGGCATCCCAGCGTCCCCGAGGATTCCATGCACCGACCATCATGCAAACATATAACACCCACCACGCATTGCACCGCTCTACGGCGCCGACGCGTTCTATGCGCGCTGGGAGACGCCCCCCATGGAGCCCATGGCGTCGAATCGAGTGCATGAGACTCAAATTCAATCCGACATCCAACAAACCCTGTGACGGTGGGTGGGTAACCACCCCAACTCGACTTGGATTGGCTAGAATTCCAGATTCGGTGGAATTTCAGCCAATCCAATGCATTTATAACTTCAACTTGAAGTCGAATCGGAGCCTGTTGGGTGAGACAACGCGAGGATGGTCGCAGCCATGCCGAGAACGGGGCGGGCACCTGTCCACGACGGGCGCGGGAGGAAGTATTGCAGTTGGTGGGGCTTTGCTGCTGAAAGAAGGGTTGGAGGATTTCGGTATTGGCGGTTTAGTAAAATCCCAGCACTTGGTTTGGCCACGTAGGCTCCAACAAAGGACTAGCCCACTTGCCCCTTGTCCAAGGATGCACTGGAAAAACCAGGCTTGTATCGATGAGACGCCATCGTGGGACGCGAGTGCCTGTGCCTCCTTCACGACCTTTCAATGGCGGATGCATAGGATGGGGGCGACTTGCCCTCGGCGCTCTCCAAGTCGTATACACCGATCCTGAAACTCACGTCACGCCACAGTCGAAATTCGATGGGGGAGTTTCGAACCGACGTGTAACTGGCCGGGACGCACCAGGATGGAGAACAATGACCCGCTGGCCGTGCGATTCGTTGCGGGTGCAGTCGCGGCCTCGACGGCCGAGCTATGCACACTCCCCCTTGACTGCTCCAAAGTTCGCATGCAAACCCACGGCATGCACACGCCGACGTCTGTCCAATTCAACGGTATGCCTAGCATTGACCATCCCAATTCGATAAGGGACTCATGCGGCGGCGGCAATGATGTAGCTGGACTTGTCGATACGATTCGCAAGGTCGTGCGATACGAAGGGGTGCTGTCACTGTGGAAGGGGGCGACGCCCGCAGTGATTCGCCAGGTCACCTTTTACAGCGTGAGCATGGTTTTGTACACTCCCCTTCGGGACGCCCCCATTTGGCCGACCGAGGCATCGTATGCATCGAAACTTATCGCGGGGGGGTGCTCGGGGGCGATTGGCATCGCGCTGGCAAACCCGTACGCCTGTGTTCTGTTTGATGGACAGTGTTGACGGCCGGTCGTAGACTCGACGTTGTCAAGGTCAAAATGCAGGTAGCGCCATTGGAACTGTTGCAACCGAGTGTCGAGAGCTCGAGACTAGAACGATCGCACGAAAAAACGACTCTATCGTGGCATCGGCGACGCCTTGAAGCAAATATACCATGCCGAAGGGTACCGCGGCTTCCTGCGGGTACCTGCCGCTGCCGATTTGCGTGCATTGACCGGGAGTTCGTACAGGGCATCTCGCCAAATATTCAACGGTGCTTCCTTGTCAACGGCGTCGAATTTGGCACGTACGACCAAAGGTACGGCGGCCACGACGACCGTTCTGCACCGTCAACTCTCCACTGCCCACCGTGAATCCGTAGTAAGGTGTCGTTGATTCAAGCAGGCGTTGTCCGCGATGGGACGGTCGGCGCGACATTGGCGGCAAGTTTCGCCGCTGGATTCGCAGGAGCGGTCGCGTCGAGTCCGTACGTGTTGTGCTTTCATTGTCAAGGGAATGCGTAAGAGGCGTGTCAGGTTGGACGTGATTAAAACGACGCTCATGGTGCACCAGAACAATCGGCACTACACTGGCGTGTGGGATTGCGGTCGCGACATTTACCAGAAGCAGGGCTTTCGAGCGTTTTACAAGGGATTCACAGCATACTACCTGCGGGAAGCGCCGTGGTGCTGCCTCTTCTTTCTCACATACGAAGGCGTCCGCAACGTCTTGGTAGGAACCCGGCAGGTGGCTTGAGGTGAATTACAAATACATGCTACTTGGTTCGGAGCTATCGTTGTGGGATGCTTCGAGAAATGGATGGTCCTCCAGGAATGGCGGTGGCGTCGCAGCAGACCATTTTGCAATGCACCCCTTGGCAATGAGTGTGCGGCGGACGTGCTCCTTGAGCAGCCCCACCAACGTCGACGTGGAATTTTCCCCCGGTCGATCCAGTGCGTACGCTGGTTTGACCGTAGCGTGGGCTGCATCCGCCATCGCATGGGCTAAGTAGTCATCGCTTGACTGGCCGTACACCTACCACACGTCCATTCGATGCATTGAATTCGAGAAAAAGGAGAGTGGAGTTGCGGACCCGCTGAGCGAGCGGGATGACTGAGATGACCATTTGCACCATTGTGTCAAGCTGGCTTGACAGCGACGCGCGCTTGGCCTCGGCGACAGCGGCGAGGTGCCTGGATTCCTCCTTTTCTTCCAGGACCACATTGAGATGGTCGACGAGTTCGCATAACTGACGCTGCAACGCATCTCGATCCTAGCCGATGACGGCTGAGCGGATGCACTGCATCACCGATGTACCAGCTCGACGTGTCGCAGTTGCGTCTTTGCTTGTAGAAGCCCCTGCGTGAGTTGTTCGACTTCCAAACCAAGCGTGGCGATTGCAGCTTCAAGCTCCAGATGCTCGTTTGTGCGCGACCTCATCGACCACTTCAAGTCCTGGGATGCCGCAAATGACACAACGACAAGTGACACCGTCGCACGAACCTCTGGCGGTGGATGGTGGAGCAACCGCATCGTCACTCCGGCGACCCCCTGTCCAACGTGACGTGTTGCATGTTTGGAAGGCATACCATGACGCGATCGATCGTCCACCGCGTCGTCGGGTCGACTTGGAGGAGATGCGACAGCATGTCGCGGATATCAGGCGGCAGTGGCGCCAAGATGTGCCCCAACACGGTGTCTGTCAGCGATGCTATCACGTGGTAGAGTTGTTCGGGGGGAAGCATCGCACTGAAGGGTGCAATGGCTGTGACCAACGGGACTCCCGTGACCACTTCGTACCTACGATCATGGACAGCAAAGTCGTCAACACGGCATTCCCCCACGAGTCAAAGTGCCCACATTGTGCAACCAAACTGCCACATGTCGGATGACAGAGTTGGCACGGCGTACGGACTCGTCAGCAATGCCTTGGCGATTTCCGGCGCGCAGTAGAGCGGCTCCATCAGCGGGAAATGCACACGAGGCATGTCAGCTGCGATGCATTGGCTCGTCAAAGACGGAACGAGCTTGAACACACCGGAGGCGGATCGTTGAAAGTACCCGATGGATCGAGGCGTCTAGTGTCGTCATGCGTCTCAATTTTCGAGAACGGCACGTTGTTCGTACGATATTGCCGTGCGCAATGCCCGCGGTTGTGTGCCAGTGGGACACGCATTGCCCCAACGACGTGATCAGGGTCTGCGGGTCCGTACGCGCCAACATGTCGTGGACAGTCGTGTGGGGGTGCTCCATCACGAGGCAGTAGTCCAAAATTGGCGACGCATCTCTACACGATATCGAGACATTTGAGTGCATCCTCCACCAGAATGACTTCGAGAGACTGTACGCCATGCGAATCCGTTTGCGCGCGTTCTCGAACGAATCGATCAACGCCACCGTCGTCGTCGACGCGTCTGTGACCTAGATCGTTGTGAATTGGATAGCGTGGGCTCCGGTGGGGTTGCGACCCTTGCTCACCGAGATGTCGAGCTGTGCCAGCGTCGACAAGAGCTGCTGAAACGTGGTGCGATCGGAAAAGTAGTGCAGCACGACGGTCTGGGACGTTCGCGAGTCGAGCGCAGTGTCGGTGGCACAATAGACAGAGGAGGCAGTCGTGTTGTTGTAGTAGCCTGTGATGCACGCGTGGGGGGTATGCGGGACCTCGTGGATGTCGTAGCGCAGGCGGTAGGCGGATCCGTTGGCGAGAAGTCGGTATGCCATGTCGGATGGAATCCCGGCGTTTTCGATCACGTAGTGCACGGGCAACTTCATTGCCTGATCGGCCACCAAGCACATCGAGGATGAGCCAGAGAGAACAAGAAACAAGGCGGCGCTATCCATCGATTCCAACGTACGTGGTCCATCACTTGCGATGACGTCGGATACGCGTCAAAGACAATGCTGATCAGGTCGGGCGTGACGTTGGGATTGGCACAGATGTAGTGCAGCGGCGTTTTTCCACGCTATGCGCAAACGTCACTCGGCGTCCCATGCAAGTTGTGATGGGGCGGTACCTGGTCCACGAGCTTGCACACCGCCGGACACTTGTCCAGGAACAACCACACCAGGTCCACAGTCACCGCTGGGCTCGCGCACACGTAATGAAACGGGGTCGACCCGTACTAGATGGAATCGTGTGAGCCGAACGCAATGGCCATGGATGCGCCATCGACAGCGCACGTTTGGTACCACATCGACGAGCTGAGCCGACGCGGGGTATCCCTGCAGCACCAACTGGACCATCTCGGACGTCGCGCGGTGGTTCGTGCAGAGTATGTGCAGCGCCGACGACTTTTCCTGGTTCATGCATCGCATGAACGACTCAAACGCCGAGAGAACGTTCGTACATCATCGAGCCACCTCAAGCACGTGGAGAGGTGGCCACTCGTGGCATCCATGAGAGCGTGGAGCATGGCTAAGTTCACCGATTCATTCGCGCACAATGCATGGAATGGTGACTGTCCGCTCTACAGCACAGTGAGCAGTGCGCCACGTGAAGAGAACGCGCGCACACACCGCGTCGATGACGTCGACCGCTTGGGAATATGCAGACAGCACGAGCTGAAGCGCTTCGACGTGGATCAGTCTGTTGGAGACCAGGACATGCAGCGGCATGTGGCCATTCTACCGCCATCCACGACACAACCGTCTGAGCATCTTGTGGCGAGAAGAGACCCACTCGCATGGATGGGAGCACGCACCATGTCACTACGAGTCGCGGCTACCGGATCCAAGGTCAAGACGAGCTGCAGCAAGTTCAGATTCAATTCTTTCTTGGCGGCGCACGCCCAATGGAGGATGTGGCGTCCCATCTAATGAAACATCCAAGTGCGTTGTGGCAACGATGGTTTTGCAGTAAAACAAACGTGGTCGGCGATTGAAATGGCTTCGGGGGCCAGGGATAATAGAGTCGCACACAGCTCGAAATCGGTGGAACTGCGAGCGAGCAGGCAATGGAGCGGCGTGCGACCGTCCTACCTCGCGTCATCAGTCACAACAGACGAATCTACGGCACGCACTCGATTGCGAAGAGAAAACGTCTCGTAATGCTGGAGCTTGAGTGTCATGTCGATCGTTTGGGATGGGTTGCAGCTCAAGTAATGAATCGGCAACGCCGATTCTTTGTCGCACATTGCCGCGGAGACGGGAAATCCCATGACGAGTATTTCAATGCTCCGCGCGCACACCGTTGGATTCATGCAAAGCCAATGCAGAGGTGTGCGCCCCATCTGCGCCACGTTGTGGTGTGTACGAAACAACGCTCCCTGTGATGCAAAACGAGTACCTGGTCCATGTACGCTACGCCTTCAGGAAACGTGTGGACAACAAGTTCAAGGAGCGGCAAGACGTCCGCTACATTTGGCCAGCGACAAAGTGAGTGCAATAAGATTCCGTCATCCTATGCGACGCCAGGTTACACACAAGCCCAATGCGTCCACGAGTGCGTACGTGAATTGGAGACTCGATCAGTTTCGGCATGCTTTGGACGACGGAGGTGACACCGTTCACGTCTTTCTCCTCAAGACACGTCAATAATGCACAAAGCGCGTCTGCGTCCTTGGCATCGGATTTGCGGATGAGGCGATGGAGGCCCGTCGACGGCAGTGCAGTCCACTCGTCCGTCCCGTCCAGCGATTTTCGTGCCGTGGAGCGAAAGTGGCTGATGGTTTTGCCTGCCCACGAGGACAGCTTCGTTTTCCCAGCATCCGTTGCTCCCATCTGCATGATGGATTCGAGTAACTCTGCGAGGAAGCGGCGACTTGACGGCACAGCGCGCGCGGTCGTATCTTGGCAACGTTCGACTTCGATAGATATCAGAATGTTGGTCCGATGCACGACGAAACCGCGCGGAATGCAGATCGGGTTCGATTCCAGCGATGCTTGTGCTCAAGAAGTGGCTGCATATGTGGTTCCTGGGTCACGCCAGTGAGGAGGACTGTCACGGCGACGGAGACGATGCTCAAGTTCGTGTGCATGTTCAAGGTGACAAGCCAGAGCAGGATGTCCAGGTTCTCCGGCGGTTGCTCATCCCCCAAGTCATAGTTGGTACTCCGCCGCCACAAGGCTGCTTTGGCAAGGTGCACAACAAACGGAGGGTGACATTGTATCTCTCAACGAGCATCCTAGCCAGGGCTGTTCGTGCAAGTTTATGTTGTGGATGCGATGTGGGCAGATGTCCTCGAGCGCCACGATGCAGTGCTGGTGGGAGAAGTCGTGAGCACGGTCTGTGGCAAAGATGCCAGCATTGTCGATGTTGTGCTACCAGGCGAGCCTTGGAAAACCCGGCGATGCCAGCTTGGACAAGGCTACGTATGGCAACCGATGCATACATTCCCCTCATCCGTCTTGTCTAGCTTCGAGCTATTCCACCCGAAGACTTTCTCCAGATGAAAGGTCTCTTACAAAGCCTTCCAGTTCCTCACCATAGTTTGTCCATGGAAAGTGAACGACAACCGAACGAATCAAGCGCTGCATGGACATGACGAATCGCATTTTCCACACAATGTCTTGTAGAACGATCCTCTTGGACGTCGTCGACTCGCTCGAAAGTCGTGTCGAGACGAGAAATCATTCAAAGCGAGATCATGTTTTGAGCTTCCGCATGTTGCCTCCTGTCGATGGGTTCTTCGCATCACGTCTTCACATGGGCTGTGCGGCCTGTCCATTGTCGACTCTCCAGTTTTCGCCATGCAGGATTCGCAAACTCAAAGAAGCGTGTGAAGGCGGGTGTAAGGTTGCGATCGGTGCGCATGGCCAGCGCTGTAGCTTTGAGCAGAGCCAACAGCGTTGTAGGTTGGCTGCGCCTACAAGGCGTTCGATGCGTCAATGTCACGCTGTTGAATTGCCCCTCTCCAACCGCCCACGTTGTACCGTGGGATCGACCTTCACTCCTCCAGCACGATAAGAGGTGAATGCTGGTCCCGCCACTGTCGACACGGCCGGTTTTCGCGTTGCAACGAGGGTCCAGCGCTCTCGGCAAGCACCACATCTCGACCCACGCGACGATGCAGCAAAAGCGCATATCCCTCTCGACATTTGCCCCATGCGCCTTCACACCGTCGACGAGGACGCTTGGCACGTACACTTCGTGCGTTCGTCGAAACGACTCGTCGAGAAGATCCAAAGGATGTGTTGGACATGGAACGAGTTGGAATGTACAACATCGAGTCGATTGTTGAGGTGACACAGGTCCACATGAAGATGCTGCGCCTACCAAACCACCTTCCTCGGTTAAACGGAGACGTCTGTCGACGTTTAGTCAGTCGCATGCAGCTCGGAGAGAATGAACAACACGCTATCGTGCGCACTTGGATGGACTGGAGGCAGATATGCGGCGCCTTTGACATTGGCTTAGCGAAAGCAGGTAGTCAGCACTATCGACGCGCCACTCGTTCGTCGGCACAGTGCCATGGTTTGGACCGATGCCGACGCGAGGGATCGCAACTTTGGTCCTTATTTCGTTTTGGGAACGCGATCCATGCGCGAAGGACTCTAGAATCCCCATCAAAATGCCCAACGGGAAGAGCGGCGATCCAAGTATGTCGTGGACACGTCGAGTGGACGGCTTGGACGAGAGTGCCACCATGCCCAAGCGTCGCCCCAAGTTCCACAAGGCGATTGTTTCTTTTACAGCTGGAACGGAGACCTCCTCTCTCGACGACAGCACTGCACTGAGTGATGTTCTGGGCAGAGCATTCAGACAGAGCCACAATTTCAATTTCACCAAGCTAGCCACGTCGATGCGGCGCAAACACATCGGATATAGCGCATTTCACAAGAAACAGATCGCCACAAACGCGACCATTCGCCGGCAGACTGTCAAGCCGTACGAGCATGCCCCCGTCCGTGTCGAATCGATGACGGAAGTCGAGACGAGGGCCACGGCACGGCGCCTCGTGGGGATGCTGAAGTCGAAGGATGTTTTTCGTCGAGATGCGAGCGACAAACTCGACTTGTACACCGTCGGATTCTACGAACTCGAAAACGTTGAAGAAATTGGACAAGATCACTTGGCGATGCTGTCCAAGTATGCAAACCACTTGAAGAAAGGAACGGCCGCGAAACGACTCCATCGCAAGGCCCTCCAGTGGAAAGATGAGCAACGCGTCATGGGCACGTTGGGCTTTGCCCCTGGCCGACTCGCATCCTCGTTGACGCACAAAGAAATCGCGTGGCTCATGAGCCTGTTGGCAGCTCCACTGAAGTCGAAAAGGTACGGCATTACAGTGCAGACATCAGAGCAAGCCGAGCGCGTTGTTCAACGAAATCGTCGGGTGTGGGAGACTTGGTCCGGTCTGAACAATTGCTGCTGGGACACGATCGGACAGAACAAAAGCCACCGGGTCAAATGGCGATCCGAGTATGCGCGGGCAGAGTGGGCTGACGAAGACGACTACGATAGCGCCACGGACGACCTGGACGATTCGGACGCGGCTACATTGCGTGCACACTCACCTGAATTGTCCTTGTTCGATTATGTCGTAGAGGCCATGCCAGAGTCGCCGGATCTTGACGAGGCGTACGACTATTGCGACATCGACAAACGTGACCAAGAGGCACAAGCTGTCGAACGTGTATGTGTGATGATGTAATGTCATTTTGTTGGTGGTGGTGGCGGCCATGCAATGCAACGCCTACATGGATGGACGACGCCAGAATCTATAAGAACGACGTTGGTTGTATCACATGCACATGCGCAGTCGAGCTCCCTCCTAAGAAGTCGAAGCGATTGATTCACGTATGCAGCGTGAAAGGATGGGATATCCATACCCCTGATTGCATTCCCGACGCTTGGATCATCGCACGACGAGGTTCGTCCTATATGTCTCGCACAAATCCGTCCATCAAGGAGGTAAATTGCATTCCCTGGTCCAATATTTGCAAGCCCACACGCTGCCTCGACATGCAGCACGCGTCGTCCGCGTCCTCAGTGTTGTCGTCCATCGCTCCCATGCCCTTGTCAGCCGCTTGCAAGTTCCGTCCAACTTCGACGGATACGCGAATTTGTCTAGCTTTTCTCAATCAGGTTATGCAGGGAGATGTATTAAAATTCAGAGGTAGCCGAACACAACGTAGGCGAGGTTGATCGAAAAGGTGGGCGGATGCAAGCCGGGCCGCTGGCGAGGTATGGTTCGAGTCGTGCTCATGGGTAAGCCAATGTGGCGGAAACATTTGGCGGAGCAGTGGCATGTGTTCAATCGCTGCGGGACTACGGTTGTGCTGTTTCTATGACTCGACACTGTGCGTCGTTGCGAAAGACGACTCGGGGCAGTTGGCGAAAAGTTGCCCCGACCAACCGCAACGTTGCAAGCCAAAGATACATTGTTGGACACAGTAGCATGACCGCACCACCATGATGGAATGGTGAAAAAAAAAAGCAACTCGTGGTGCCGTTTGCGCATTTGCGTGTGTACACCGGCCAACGTCGTGCACGACAAGAATCGTGACGATTGTCCGCGAATTCGTCGGCAGGGTGTCCCAACTGCTGCGACATCGGCAAATCCACGCACCCACGGCAGCATGGTGTGGACAGGACAGGATGACTGGATGCCTCAACCAAACGAGTCAAGGTTGGTCGTGGCGTCTAACCACGGGGCGCGAACAGGGCGGGTGGAGATTTTGACCCTGCAGTTCACCCTCTACATGTCACAAAGCGTTGGGTTTGGGTGGGCACCGGATGGATGGAGCGGTCTGGGTGCGGCCAGAAAGCTCGCAATGAGCAAGTTGGGGTGAGTAATGCGACCGACCCACGATGGTGTCGCGCGCGGAGGCCACGTGGATGGACGAGTTGGGACCCCAACCACGACGGCGACACATCCTCGGGCACCTTCCCTCCCCTGCAAACGAGTCTGGGGTGGAAGTGTAGACGTGTCGTCAAAGCACCAAGGTTCCCGCGACTGGGTTAAGTTACCCAGCGATCGCAACTGCAAGTGGGAGATTCATCCGTTGCATCGTGGTATTTCATTGGCTATAAATAATTGACACATGACGATTGCAGCCAATCCAATCGATGGAAGTTTCCTGCACTTGAACATGGATTCCCGACGGCCATTGTGCATATTTCTATCCCCACCGCAATACGCAAGTAGGATGGCGCTCCACACGACCACCGCCCGGCTGATCTCGGCTGCCAAGAGCGCTCGTGTTCTCCGCCAAACGTCCCGCTTGACTACGGCCACATTACCGTCTATCGTCCGCAGCAAGATTATGCCACGTGTGTTGTCGTCCCCATTCAAGCCTCACACTGTGTCGCCCGCCGCACTATTCGTCCGCGCGTACTCTCAACCTGCGGTAGCCCGAGGGTTGGAAAAGCCCAAGACGTCATTGCTCCTCGAGACAAACGACGGTCCTGGATCGCTTCAAGAAGTGCTCAAGTTCTTCTGGAAGCACGACGTAAACATGGTGCACATTGAGTCCCGACCAACCAAGGGACCAGCCCACGACTACGCCTTTTTCATTGACTTTGACGGACGACCGGGTGAGCCTGCCGTGGACTTGTTGCTGGAGGACCTCAGGCGCCACTGCAGCAAGATCATGGTGCTCAACGACAAAAAAGGTTGGTCTTCTACCATGTTGTGGGTCGACATCGTCATGTTATCGCTTCCACAGTGCCGTGGTTTCCTCGCAAAATTAACGACTTGGACATGACGGTCAAGGTAATAACGCCACGTATTCGCTTGGGTCGTCTCTGTTGACGGAACTCACGCGCCGGCAGACGTTGAACGCTGGCGAAGAATTGCAGTCGGACCATCCTGGCTTTTCGGTATGTCCTTTTCATCGAACTAGGACATGACCACCGTGTGTCATGCAAGCAACGTCGATAGGACCCCGTGTACCGCGCCCGCCGCGACCAACTGACCGAAATTGCTGTCAACTTCCGCCAAGGCCAGTCGATTCCTCGCATTGACTACACCCCAGATGAGGTAGGCATGGGCATCTCGACACGGCGTGACGATATCGTGTCGTTCGTGGTAGGTCAAGACGTGGGGAGTCGTGTACGACCGCATGGAGGACATGTGGGCAAAGTACGCCTGCGACGAGTTCAAGTACATTTTACCGCTCTTGGAAACCAACTGCGGGTACAGCCGCGACAACATTCCGCAGGCCCAAGACATTTCCGATTTTCTTAAGGAGTGCACAGGTGCGTCGTCGATGGAGGTCGCCATCGTTGGCCAAACGCTGTGTGGTAGGGTTCACGTTGCGTCCCGTGGCCGGTCTGCTCTCGGCGCGCGATTTCCTGAACGGGCTCGCGTTCCGCGTGTTCTTTTCAACCCAGGTGAGCGTCCTTCCCGACGACGCATGTCGCGATCGATGCAGTCTGATCCCGACTGCCATCCTTCTCGAGTGATGTCTTCCCGATTGGTGATCACTCAATTGAGTCTTGATTGTGCGATGTAGTACCTTCGCCACCACTCTGTACCTTTGTACACGCCCGAACCCGACATTTGCCATGAATTAATGGGCCACGCGCCCATGTTTGCCGTACGCGCTGGAAGCTCTCTCTCGCATTCCGCTGATATTCGTGTAGGACCCGGACTTTGCCGACTTTTCGCATGAAATCGGCTTGGCGTCGCTCGGAGCGTCGGACGAAGAAATTGAACGCCTGGCGACGTGCTACTGGTTCTCGGTTGAATTTGGTGTGTGCATGCAGAACGGTGAAAAGAAGGTGCGTCCAAGCCTCTCTCGTTGGAGCGCCGGTCGTGGGTCATGCGATGTCGTGTGTAGGCGTACGGTGCTGGTCTCTTGTCGAGCTTTGGCGAACTCGAATACGCGTGCTCGCCGACTCGACCTGCCGGCGGCGAAGACGCGTTCCCCGAGTACCGCCCGTGGAACCCGTTTGAAGCTGCCAAGCAAAAGTACCCTATCACGACGTACCAGCCCATCTACTACGTCGCTGACAGCCTCGCGGACGCCAAAGCTCGCATGCGCGAGTTCACGGAGGACATGAAGAAGCCGTTCTATGCCCGCTACAACCCGTACCAGCAGACAATCTGTGTTGACCGTGCGGTGTCGGTCGAGTCGAAGAAGATCTATTAAAAGTTGACAGAGAGATATGCATCACGTTGTGGCATCTCATCACTGCGTCACAGTAGAAACCGGGTCGTGCGCACCGATGCACAGGAGAATCATGGCGATCAGTCTGTCGAGCTCAGGTCGTTGGAGGTTTCGTGATGGACAGAGAGCGACGTCGTGAATTGTGTGCATTACTCGGCACCCTTGTCGCCGTCAACAGGATGGAATTCTGCTGCCAGCATGACATTTTTGAAGTGATCAACTACATACCCGCGCCACTACTCGTTTCTGACTCGAGCAGCTCACGGCACGCAAATCCACGGCCATGATCGAGTGCACACGACAGGTCGTGTAGCCAATGCGGAGTGCACTACGCTAGACGACGTTCCATCTCGTCGTCATTTGTTTTCGACAGGTCGAGTTGGTCGTGCAGATACTGGCCGAGCATGTCGATGCTGCGCTTGTAGCAGTCCATCATGTGTTCTGCAAACGCCATCGTGTGAATCGCTTCATCGTTTGGTCCTTCAGTCGACTTGCATGGCAGCTTGCCGTGTGAGTAGTACACCATCGAGCACCGGTTCTTGCCCATCTTGGTGATTGTCAACCTGTGTGTGCGAGTTACATGGTGTCGCAGTCGTTGGACAAGTACCAGGAGGTCTCTCGTGCGACGTACACACTCGCAGGGTACGGGTGCGCTTGGTCGTTCAAGATCGAGTCAAACACCATCACAACACGATTGTGCTCGAGATACCGCTTGCAACCCATGTGCTGGTGGACGTCTAGATCATACTTCTTCAACTTGAGCACCATCTTGACCATGCATGCATCCTCGCCAAACCTTTCCAATGGCTACAAAGCAGCATTCAAACGGGATATGAAAAGGCGAAAGTACCTGCGACACTTCGAAAGGGGTCTCGTAAGTCGAGCCGTAGACGTCCCAGATTGCATTGGAGAACATGAGGTAGTCGACGTTCGCGGTCTCTTTGGCGGTGAAGTCAAACACAATTTCGCGCGAATGATCGTCGTATGCGACTTCGGTCTTGTTGATACGTTCGCTGGACGACGAGTCGTAGAGGCGCTGGGCGATGAAGACACTCTCCAGACGATTGTAGTGCGCGTCAAGAAGGGCGTGGAACGTCGTTCGACGCTCGATGGGGTCGATTCCGATCGTCTGGGACTGCTTCCACTTGTTCAAGTACGTCATTTCGGCCACTCGGGGTCGTTTGCTCACAATCTTCATGAGCGATTCTGCGAGCTGAACTTGGCGTTGCAGCATGTCTTTCAACGCTTGGTTTTCATCCTCGGCGGCTCTGCGTGCACTCGCTTGGCGCAACGAACGTTCGTGCCACAACAACGATTCTTCTGTATGTGGTATCAATCGATTCTGCAAGTCTCGTAGCTGCCGCGTGTACTCCACAACCTTGTCACGCAAGTAAATGATCTCGTGGGCAGCACGCTTTCGATTGCGCTTCTTCTTCGATGTTGCAAGTGACGTGTCGTCAAGTCCCGAGTCCGAAGAGTGCAAAACCTCCATTAGAGACGCAATGTCTTCGTCGGGAAGGTCATACTCCACAGAATCGTCGGTGTGGTTCAGTTCATCGAGGCACGCCGCCAGGAAGTCATCGTCCATCCCGCGGACAGCGAGAACACTTTTGAATACATGGCGTGCGGACTTGCGATTCTGCGTAAATTTTCGTATTTTTCATGGTTTTTCGACTTTCCAAGAACACACGGCACACGTTTTTGGTATTTTGCGATAAGGTTCCATGGCGACGCCCGACGACGAACTCGTCTTGACGGGAAAGGTAGACAGCGAGTCCTTGACCTCCGACGAGTCGGCACCACTGCATGACACTGACATCCTCATGAGTGCGCCAAAGCGAAAACGAATTCGAAAGCGTGCCATGGACGAACTCGCGTACTTGAAGAACCAGGTCGCCGAGTACACCCATCAGCTTCAAGCACTTCAGGTAAAAGTGCCCGACCCGGCTTCAGTCAGCGAGTGGGAAAGACGGTCTCGCCGCCAGGCCGTCGAACGAGCTGCTGTCGAGCAAGAAAACCACAAACTCAAGGCTGCCGTGGAAAGCCAGCTCAAGATCGTTGAAACCCTCGTCAAGCTCGTGACGAAACGACCCAAGCTCGCGGAGGAGGTGTATTTGGTCGTGAGTCAGTACCACACGTTGCCAGCAGATCCCATGACTCGATTGACAAAGCTGCACGCGATCGTGGACGCAGAGTACCCCAAGTGGGAAACCCACTTTATCGCAAAGCGCCTCATCGACTCGTCTGAATCGATCCTCCAGATCAACGTCGACTACGACGAAGTGGCGCATGCGATTGGGTTTGATTGCGTCATGTGCCGGACGCTGAGCGTAAACTTCGCCCAGTGCACATCCATCCTTTGGACCATGTACTTTTTAAACATGGACATCAAGATGCAGACGACGGTGATGAAGGTGATGTGGGCCACCATCCGTACCCTTGACAGCGCGAACTCAATCGCGGACGTGTTAGTTGATTCAACGCGTCGACGACAAGACAGTGTACTACCGCCACTTGATTCAGTTTGAAACCCACACGGTGCACAACCAAGTCGTGTGCAAGCGATTTGACAAACCGGGCCAAGTCGTGATCGTGTTGCAGTCTGTCGTGGGTGACGAATTGTTCCCGTATCCCCCAAACGCCTACGTGGCCCATGAGACGGCCTGGTGCGTTTGAAGCACATCGGAGTTGGACCTTGACGGAAATATGTTGTAGGCTCGTTATATCGAAAGCGGGAGAGAACGAGTGCACTGTCAAGTACTTTGCCAAAGGAACTTTGTCGTGCAGATCGAGTCGAGACATCCCCGCACTAGACGCGCTCGACTTGAGTGACAACGATGTCACGGACACCACGCCCAAGGTTGCGCACCACATGGCGTTTGCCGAGTATATGATGGCGTGCTACCGCAACAACCTCCACTCCCTCAGCATCCACATCGACCACACGCTCTTGTCCGTCGTCGATCCTTCAGACACCAAGCTCACCGTGTTTGACTCGTACTCCTTCACCGATTGAAGCTCGACATGATGCATGCCTCCCCATTTTCTCGGCTTGATCGAAACCTCTCCGCCACTGACCGACGCCATCTCGTGTAACAACTCGACATTCAAATCGTTCTGTGGTGTATCTGCCGGGGGGGTCCATTCTGTCATCGACGCGGGCTCCTTCGAAGCACTCACAGCTCCAGCGCTTCCAATAAGCCTACTTGGAGCGTCTCCTCGATCGATGACTTAAGCTCGGTGTCACTCGTCCGTGGGAGTGAAAATAGTGACCATACATAGTGACATCTGCTCGTATCCGGATAAGCTTTGAAAAGTTGTGTAACACCACAACAGCATGACGGCAAGAGAAGGACCGAGACGAAACGACCCAAGCTCGCGGAGGAGATGCACTTGGACGTGAGTCGCACCACCGGCTGCCAGTAGACCCCGTCGCTCGAATGACCTTCCTTTGGACCATGTACTTGATGATACAGTCATGAACACGGACGCAATCGTCGTCAAGGTTGCGCTCTGCCTCGTGCGAACCAGACAACTGACTACTCTCACGCATTCGTGTATTCTCGAAGCAATGTAGCTACCCCAACGCCTCGGTGACTGGGTCACTACCTCCACTTGATTCAGTTGACGTCCGACGGAATTCTCGCTCACAACGATGTCGCGTGAAACTCATTGTCGCCACAGAACGAACGCATCGTCATCGTGCGGCATTCCCGACGGCGTTATGCACCCGCGAAACGCCAACGTGGCGAACGCGACTGCATGGCCCTGTTGCACATGCCTCTAATTGTCTGGACCAAACGTTGGATGGTCGTGGGGTCTCGATATGGAAATCTTCACGATTGACGACGTGAGCAAGAAAATGTACTTGGCCAAATGTGCCTTGATTGTCTAATCCAGAGGATCACACCCGACCGCTGGATTTGCTTACATTACATGACGACTGCCCGAGAGAGCGACGGTAGCGCGTCCAGGTAGTTGAACCGCAAGGTAGCCGCCGAGTGTATCATGGCATGCCGGCGCCACCACCTCGACTCGTTTGGCATTCACGTCGACCACGCGCTCTTGACGATCGTGGACCCGTTCGACACGATTGTCAAGGTGTACGAGATCGACATCACGCGTCGAGAGCATTGACGAAAGTCGAGTTTATTGAAAAATCTTCTTCCGTCATGCATCCGAACAAAGCACCAAGACATGCCAGCGCCTCTGCGAGCTTTGGTTTCTTGGATGCAAGATGAAGGCGCTACGCCGTTCACAGATTTCGCGTCGCACTCCCGCGGACGGAGGGAAAAACGTGCCGACGGCCGTGGAGACCCGAGGTGCAACGGGATGAATCGCGACGTTTTCTTCGCACTCGACGGTTTCAATGTCATCTCCACTGGAACACCACGATTCCATGAGCAACTCGGGGGACGGCGCAGTCGGGCGTTTGAGTCCCGACGACGTGGAGAATGCTGTGTTAGCTGGAGAGAAATCCGATGTTCGTGAACGAGTCGGTCGAACGTTGCGCTCAGCAACATTCCTAGGTCGAAGTCGATGGACCAAGCGATGTCCCGTGGACATCGGACGACGAAGCCGAATCTGGCAAAAGTGACGACGACGACGAAGGAGGCAGCGACGCCTTGGCAGCGTTGGAAGAAGAGCCTGGCCATGATGGCCTGGACTACGGTGCTGTCGATAATAATGGCTGTGACGAGGATGACGCTGATGTTGATGAGTCCCCACAAGACTCTGGCATTTCCCCTGTCTTCGAACCTGTCCATCCCATTCATGACGACCTCCCTATAAACTCAGCACCAGACCATGAAGATGCCAATCCCGACAACAACCGGTCCCGCAACAAGGTTCGAATCCACTGGGAGTCTGACCATAGTAAGAAAGTTCGAGGCAGGCGGCGAAACATTCGCGTGGGATCGACCGAGGGATAGAGAAAAGGACTGGTGCGAACGAGAAGCCACCATCAGAGAAGCCCAGTCGAACCAGGCGAAAGTCGATGACGACGAGGGAGGGAGGGTCTCCTCCACGCGATGGTCTGTTCAAGAAGGAGCGAGACATGATCGCATTGAACATGAAGAAGCTGCGCGCGATTGCGCGAAAGGCCCCTGTCCAGGTGCGCATTTGGACGGAGCCGCGAAAAGTCAAGACGCCGATGGATAAATATGCTTGCGCCGAGGCCGAAGCAGGTTTATCTGCACTGCGCGGACGTCGTTGTGCCTGAAGAGGTATGTAGTGTGCAGCGACATCTTTTGGGCGGCGATCAAGGACGACTTGATTCGCCTCCAGCACTTGGTCCAAATGGAAGGTGTGTCGGTGCACACAACGATGGATCCGTGGATGGTACTTGAAGCATCTCGTTTGTGGAGACCTGACAGAGGGGAGTTGTAGTTTCACCAGACTCCGTTGCACTGGTACAACGTGTGTGAGCTCTTCAAGCTCAGTCCGGTCGTTCGAGTAGGGCAGCAAAAGGCGGCGCAGCCCAAGCGATCGAGTTCTTGGTTGGATGCGGAGCCGATGTTTACAAGCGAGATGATGTACGTTACTGGAAATTGGAGGAGTGGATGGCGCTCAGCGATCGTAGAATGGCAGCATTCCGTTGTAGGCCCTTGCGCCCCTCGTTTGGACAAATGTATAGTGGACGAATGTCGTGTCGTAGGCATCTGGCGTGTTGGGCGGGACACACAGACGCTGCCATGGCGCTGCTTCGGGCAGGCGACCTCAAGGACCTCCTCATCACAGACTACGACGTATCGCCTGCTGAACATCCGAGTTGGTGCTGACGAAAAAGACCACGTAGGCGAATCTGAATCCGCTCGAGTGGGCTGGGGTGCGCCAGCACACAGAGTGCCTTGCGGCTCTGAACAAAGTACGTGTTCCTTGCTTGTTGAGCACTCTCACACGTCGGTCGGTTTGCCTAGTTTTGTGACAGCGTGTGGCTACCGCAGTTTGTGGCCGATTTGATCTGGAAGATCATCTCGAAAACAAAGATGCGCACGGCGGAAGAAAAGCGCCGTGAAGAGCAGATCGCGGCGGAGCGGGCCGAACTCAAGCGGTTGCAGCAATTGGCCGAGCAGGCGAAGGAAGCTGCTCAAATGGGGCAAGCCGTTGTGTTGGATGGCAGCGATGCGACGAAAATCACATTTTCCACCGCGACCGTCGCAAAGACACAATAACTACCGCCATTGCTCGAATATTTACATTGTTCAAATTCGAACTTGTCCAAGAGGCGCTCGCCGTTTCATGCTTCACGGGAAAGCGGATGGGGAGGCAGTGCGCATTCAGAGGAAGGTTGGACGAATATCGAGGGCGATGGAGTTCCCGCCTGTGAAGAAATACAATGCTATGGAAGTGCGCCACAGCACGACCTTGGATGATGTCGACTTGTACGGTGGAGTAGCATCTCCCACCGACGAAGACACGGCGCTTGCGCCAGGTGGCCCCCTTGCCCTGTGTTCACTGGAAGCCCTCGGACTCGTTGTTCAGTACAGCGCCATCGGACTCCTCTATCGTGTCATTGAAGATATCGCAGCCCCGATCTACTCGGTATACCTCCATGTCGACCCGACCCAGGTGCAAATGTACTACGTCGTGGTCTACTTTGGCTGGTACTTTAAAGTCTTCTTCGGGATGGTGTCAGACTGCGTCCCGATCTTTGGCTTTCGCCGCAAGAGCTACATGTTCATCGGGTGGACCATCACGTTTGTGTGTACGGTCGTGATGGCGTGTATGCCAATTGGCCCGCCGTACTGCGGCAACCCCGAGCTGTGCAAGGTCCCCTTGGATTCACTCGACCCGGCCGACGTTGCGGAATACTTTGACCTGGCCGCGCCCTCTCGCGGCCTTCCGTTCCTCGTCATGTCGATGGTCCTGAGCTTTGGCTATGTCATGACTGTGTGTGCGTCGGATGCACTTGTCGTCCAGTACGCTCGACGGGAGCCCATCGAAACACGAGGCCAGACGCAGTGCGCGGTCTACGCCATCCGGCAATTCGCCAGCGCCATCGCGCTCTCCGTCACGCGCTTCTTTCTGAACGGACCGTCGTACCAAGGGACGTTTTCGTTTGAGATCCCACCAAACGTTGTGTTTGTGCTGCTGAGCGTCCCGAGCGGCATCGCGCTCGTAAACACGTACTTTTGGATCCACGAATACCGCGAGACCGGCATCCCGATTCGCGTGTACCTCCAAGGTAAATGTCTATCGCCATGGACTCGTAATTGACATGGGGCTGCGATGGTAGGGCTGTATGAGCTTGCGACGAAGCGGGTGTTGTGGCAGATTTGCTTGTACACCTTGCTGTCCGAACTCTTTTCGTCCTTTGGGACGACTGCAGAGGGCCCCGTGACATACGTGTGGGCAAAAGTGACGCCGCTGTGTGACAGCGTTTCGTTCGTTGTGAGCTGCCTTTTGTGGGGAACCACCCTCGTGTGCATTGCGCGGTGGGGCGTCAACTGGAACTGGCGGACCACGATGATCATCACGACTGTCATGTTTATCGTGATTGACGCACTGGGCATGGTCATGGTTGTGTGGGATGTCGAGCGCGACGAGTGGCTTTACAGCGCCATGTACTTGGTCAATTCGATCCCTGGCGCTGTGAGGTGCGCGCTGCCTTGCTATGTTGGAAGGTGGCTCTCATATGGTTGTAGGTTCATCATGACGTTCTTCTCCACCGTAGAAATTGCTGACATGGGCAACGAAGGTGCGCGCGCCACCGATCTTCGACCTTTGTGACGATTCGCCTAGGCGCGGTGTTTGGACTCATCACGACCATTTACAACGTCATGGACTCGATCACCCCGTTGTGGTACAGCTGGGTCGACTCGCACTTCCATGTGACCCCCCAGGACGCGGACGCCGACACCACCGACGTGCGCTGGCAAGTGACGTACACGTACTTGATTTCGTACGGCATGCGACTCTTTGGGCTATGCTTCCTGGTCCTCCTACCTCCGCAAAAGGCAGCTATGCAAGCGTTGAAGCGATACGGTGGCTCCCAGCCAGCCATTGCCATGGCCGTGTTAGGTGCAGCGCTTGTGTGCTTGATCGTCGCCGTCACATCGAATCTCCTGTCCATCTTCCCTTCCACCAACTGCCTCGCCTTAGCTGGAGGAGACGGATGTCCGTAGATAACACAAGAAACCAATTCATTCTCACGAACGCTCCAACATGTCGAGGGCAAGGATAGTCTGTCCTGAACACGGAAAGCCCCTCCACCCTCTGCTATCTCGGTGTCCGCAAAAATTGAGCCCCGCAGGAGTCCTTCCTCGCCATGCCGTCTACGTTGTTCAGGTCTTGAAAGGTCATTTCTCCACATCATTATCCGGAGATTTAACCGGACAAGATCTGTCGACGTCACGAATGTCACGAGAACAATTTGGGCACGGCGGCGAAGGCGATGGCAGTCCGTGAAGTTTGGCCCAAGTACTGCGCTGAAATGGACTGCTCCATCGCGCTAGCTTGTGATGGTACGCTAGCAAGCTCCCTGCTGTTATGATGGCGTCGACAACTCTTAAGAACTTGTCACCAGGTGCAAGCTTCGTGTTCTTGTTGGTCTTGATGCGCCGCGTGCATGTGTTGCTGGAACGACCTCCATGGACCGCACAAAAGCCTCCGACACGACCGTGCCCGGCCGTGAAGTACATTGCAGCGATTGCATTGGTGTTCTTTCATATTGCATTCATCCTCGTCAGAGCATTGACGAACGCCCGAGCCATGACACCTTCCGAGGTTCCTCGAACAAAGCTTGAATGCGCAACTCAACGGTCATCGTCGTAGGCATTGGGTTCTACCATTCGAACGCTTATGTGGACAAGTTACGCTGTGCTCCTTGCGCGGAACCCCCATCTTGGAGAAACCATAGCTGTGCGGATTGGGCTTATCCTGCATGGTGTTGCGAGCCTCGCCCTGTTCAAACTTGACACTTCAACAATCTCGTCATGCCTGGTGTGCTTTATCAGTGCATTTACGGCCGTACTGGCCTTGCTGGCACTCGCCCCATCGATAACGCATCGCTGCGACTCGGACAGGTCATTCAGTCCCCTCGATCAGTCGTCTCTGCTCTCCCGACTCGTCTATGCATGGGTGTCGCCGTTCATTTCGTTGGGATTGCAGCGCCGATTCGAAATGACGGACGTGCCGCCTCTCCCAGCTGCAGATCGCACGGCCAGCCACATGTTTCACACGGCACTATTGCAAGAGCGCCGACAGCCCAATCCTTCGTTCCTGCGCCTCACCATGCGGCTGTACGGCTGCGAAGTCGTTGGATTTGGTCTGTGGTCGGCCTGCAACAAGCTTCTGTCGCTGACGAGTCCATTTTTGATCAAAGTCCGGGCCGATGACTTTCTTCCATGGTTGTTTGACCAGTTGTCGTTGGTAGGAATTCCTCGAGTGGTCCAGCAGTGCCGAGAGCCCGTCGTTGTCCACTACGGGTTTCATCCTGGCTGGCCTCATAAGTCTCCAAGCTGTGCTTTCGGCCTTCTCCGGCTCACAGTATGGTACGCTTGGCTTCTATCCAACGAAACACTTGTGGAATGGAAGGGGCGTAGGACTTGCATGGGCACGTTTCGACCTGCGTGTGAAAGCGGGGCTTATGTCGGCAATTTATGGTCGCACGTTGGAGCTAACGTTAGCCGAGAAGAGCGCGATTGGGATGGGTAAAATCACAAACTACATTTCGGTCGACTTGGGGCGCGTCGTTGGGATGCCAGGCAGCGTTTTTGACATGGTGCTCATTCCCCTGGAGGTACTGTCGACTTCATCAGAGGCTGTGCATGTTCTTGGGACTCGTTCCTGAGGTCGTTCCCGTCTGGTTGTGCCTGCGCCGCATTCTGTACTTCATGGTGCCATTCACTGATGCCGCTTCCCACCATTGTCATAGATCGTGATTGCTCTGGTTCTGCTTTCTCGAGAAGTCTCGTATGCGTTCGTGGCTGGCCTGGGCGTCCTTGCCGTCATGCTTCCGCTGCAGACGTGGCTAGGCAATCAACTCCAAGTGATCACACGAAAGATGCTGCAGTTTCGAGACGAGCGCGTGGAGCTCACAAGTGAAACGATCAAGGGCATTCGCGTCCTCAAGGTAATATATATTTGCCATCGCAGCGATGCTTCCTGTTGCGCCATTTCAATCGAATGGACTAGCTCCTGGCTTGGATCGATCATTTTGTTGGCAAGATGCGTATTAGCCGGCAGCTCGAAATGGGCCAACTCGGCGCCCGCAAGTACCTGGACGCGTTGTGCGTCGTCTTTTGGGCGTCAACTCCCGTCATCGTGCAGTCGTCCGTGTTCTTGGCCGTGATTTACTCTGGCCGCGACCTCACGGCGGCCAACGCGTTTGTTGCGATTGCGCTCCTCGATCGCTTGATATACCCGATGAATTACTTTCCGTGGATCGTAAACGGCTTTCTCGAAGCGCGCGTGTCGGCCCTTCGCATCCGCGAGTATCTCTTTGCACCAGTCGCCCCCGTCATCCAGCCGCCGCCGCGCCCGTCGTCCGTGTGCTTGTGGCACCAGTGCACGTTTGCGTGGACGGAACCAACCCCGGAGAACCAGCCTGAGACAGATGCCCTGACGACAGCACTGCTGACTGACCACGACATGAGCCAGCACGCGTTCAAATGCCACCTGGACCACTTTCAGTTGGACCCGGCACACATGCACGTGCTAGTTGGCGCCACAGGCAGCGGCAAGTCGTCCATGCTCCTGGCGCTCCTTGGAGAAATGCCGCTACTCCAAGGACGGCACATTGGGTCGCCGGGGATCGTGTCGTACGCACCACAAGTCCCGTGGCTGTTTCCAGCGACCATTCGATACAACATCACGTTGGACGCCGAAGACAACGAGCAATCTTCATCGTTGGCGAACCCGGATTTGTATCGTCAAGTGCTTGCCGCGTGCGCTCTGGAGCAAGACCTGAGCGCCCACCCCCATGGGGACCGCACGATTCTGAGCGAGCAAGGCGCCAACTTGAGCGGTGGTCAGCGCGCGCGTCTCGGCCTCGCCCGAGCGCTGTATCAACGCGCTGACGTGTACTTGCTGGATGATGTATTGAGCAGTTTGGACGTCGCGACCGCATCGCATGTGCTTCGACATGCTTTCGCCGTCCTTCCGCCCACTGCAACAGTTGTGATGGCCACGCATGCCGTCCATCTCCTCGACAACATTGCTCGATCGTACACGATTCTCGTCGTGGAGCATGGCCGAGTTGTCGAAATGGGGACGCACGAAGACTTGACGTCGCGGGAATCGTCTCGATTCAACCAAATGGCGCAAGTCGTTCGCGGAGTGGGCACTGGCAACGACAACGAGGGTGACGCTCAACGTGGCGACGGGACTCGACGAGGGGACAATCTTGCGACGTCCGATCATCACGGGAGCGCGTCGGTCGAAGAGCATCGCGACGACGGCGTTGTCGCCTCTTGGGTACGCCCCCTGGATCGAGAATTCGTGCTGAAGACGCGCATGTGGATAGATGTGGTGGCGATACTTGCACTCGATGGGAGGTGTTGTCTTGGGAATGCTCGTCTTGTCTGTGCTTGTCATGCAAGTGTCCCGCAACGGTTTGGACTACTGGATTGCTCTGTACACGTCGGCGGAGCACCACCCGATCGCGCCACTCGCGTTTGCCCACGGTCTGATTGTGATCACAGCGATCAACATCGTGGCCGTGACGGCGCGATCTTTCTTCTTTGCCTACGGCGGCCTTCGTGCAGCAAAAGCTCTGTACGCCCGTCTCGTCCATCGACTCTTCCATGCGACCCTGAGCTTCTTCGACGTCACTCCACTCGGCCGCATCCTGAACCGCCTCAGCGGCGACACCTACGGCGTCGACGAGAGCCTTCCATTTATCCTCAACATCTTCATCAAGGACTTTGCTGACGTGTGCGGGACACTTGTCATCTTGGTTGCGACGAACCCAGCGGTCTATTTTGTTCTCGGACCATTGACTGTCGTTTATTTTGTGCTGCAAAAGTGGTATCGACCGACATCGCGCCACCTCCGCCGGCTCGATGCCGTCGCCCAGTCTCCGCTCGTCATGACGTTCCAGGCAACCCTGGACGGCCTCCCGATTCTGCGCGGCCTCCGATGCGAGCCCAAGTGGTTCGGCGTGTACCTTCACCAACTTTATCAAGCACAACGCGTGAGCTTTCTCGGAAACTGCACTGGCGCGTGGTTTGGACTGCGTCTCGATAGCCTCGGTGTCGCAGTCACGACCTTTGTGGCGGTTTACGCTGCCATCCAGTGCCATTTGGGCCACCCCGTGCCGTCCGGCGTCCTCGGCCTCACGCTCATCTACGCGCTCCCGATCGTTGGCAAGTTCAACGCGATCCTTGGTAGCTTCATCGCGACCGAACAAAACATGGTGAGCGTCGAACGAGTCCTCGAGTACTCGTACGTACCGGTGGAGGACGGCGACGCGCCAACTGCGGATGCTCCATCGTCCAGCGAAACCGGTCAAAGGGCCAGCCATTCCGTGAACGACCACCTCGTGAATTGGCCACCTCAAGGCCACGTCACCCTCACAAATGTGTCCGTGCGGTACGGTGCCGGTGCGTGGACGGGCTTGAACCAGCCGGTGGATGCCGCCGCCCCGACTGGCCTCCCCGCGGCGCTACACGGTGTGACGTGCCACATTGTCGCAAAGGAAAAGATTGGCATCTGCGGACGCACGGGTGCGGGCAAGAGCACGCTACTCCATTGCCTCTTCCGCGTGGTGCCGTTTGGCGGGCGCATCGTGATCGATGGAATCGACATCTCGTCCATGAGTTTGACCCGACTGCGATCGGCGCTATGCTTTATCCCGCAGGACGCAATGCTGTTTAAGGGAAGCGTCCGTGCCAACATTGACCCGATGGACACCATGAGCGATGCCGCGATTTGGACGGCGCTGTCCCAGTGCTGTTTGAAGGAAGTTGTTGAAATGTTCCCTCTGCAGCTGATGGAGCCCCTGCAAAACAACGAGGCCAAGCTGAGTCGAGGTCAAGCTCAGTTGTTGTGTATATGCCGCGCACTCGTGCGGCAGTCCAAGGTTGTGTGTGTGGATGAAGCCACGGCAGCGATCGATCACACGACAGAGCAACTGGTCAAAACGGTACGTTCATGCGACCTCGTGGGTGCTTAACGTGCAAGTGCTGGAGCTAGACGATGGCGCAAGCTTTCAAGGACTCGACGGTACTAACAGTTGCTCATCGCCTCCACTCGATTCTCGACTCGGATCGGGTCCTCGTCTTGGACGAGGGCAAGGTCGTCGAATTCGACACCCCTCGGGCTCTTCGTGCGATTCCGAACGGCTACTTTGCAGCGCTCTTGGACGGACACATCGCATCGTCGGCCTCGACATAAAGCCCGACCGGTCGTGCGCCGCCGTCCTCACGCACGGCGAGATCCGCCGTGGAGTGGTTTCGTTGTAACGTTCGTAACACGGTCACCGTTGCGGATAAAATTACGAGATCAGGACATACAAACATCAAGTCAACGGGGGACCTCTTTTTTATTCCACGCCAACATCGAATTGGTCGATGTTTTTAAATTGCACTTGAGAATAGTATGTGGGCCGCGTGATATTTTAGGCAGCCGACGTCACGTTTTACTGTCGTTGGACTAACACAAGGCGTCGGCCCCTGTCCCCTTCAAGGTTGATCGTGATGGATGATGGCGCGATGGGGCTCACAATGTGTCTAGATGAGCACTTCCAGTGGCCGCGCGAGTGTAAGCAATGGTGGTGTGCTGGGTACTGTGATGACAAAGGAACTCACGGAGCAGGGGAAGGATATGCTGCTTGGGGCGTTGAACGGTGGTGGCCTCAACGCGGCCGCACACCACCTGTCCCCACCAGCCCCGGTTGTGTCGACAAAATGCGCCGACACGTCGACACTCCGTCACGATGAGCGCGACAGCGTTGCGTCGTCTGAAGCGTCCCGGTCGCAGCCGTCGTCGTTGAAAGGCGCAACTTCTCGACCTCCCCCACCAACCCACGAAGTGCATTGGGAAGGGTACGTGCGGAAGAAGGGCGACTGGTTGCCGCGTTGGGAAGAACGATACTTGGTCTTGGATGGAGCGTCCCTTACGTACTACAACTCGAAGGAGGAAGCTCGCACGGGCAAGAACCTCCGTGGCCGAATGATCATCACGAGGGTCTTGCCCGAGAACTACGGAAAAGCACACGGGTTCCTCATCGAAACGATGGGCCACAAGCACTTTCATTTGTGTTGTACGACCGAGCTCGAGAAAGACATGTGGGTCGAAATGATGCAGGCCGCGATCGACGAAGGAGTCCACCACCCGAACCAGCCGTCGTCAACGACGAGCACGAACGCATCCACGTTTGATGTGAACGTACAAATCCACTACTCTCCGACCCAAGTCGACCTCCGTAGCTTCTACAGCGCGTTCCGGAAGCTCCTGATCTCGCACTCGTCGTCCCCGCAATTCTTTCCCAAACTCAGCCGCGACGTCGTACTCACATCCAACTACGCTCCGACCGTGCCGTTTTGGGGTGAATACCACGGCCTGGACGGTGTGCTCCACTTCTTCTCGATCTTGTACGAGACGGTCGAGTTCACGTCGTTTTTTGTCACGGACATTGCGCAAGCGCACGAAGGATCGACGGCGGTCGTCGCCGGCCGTGAAACGATGAAAAACAAGCACAACAACCGCAAGTTTACACAGCAGTGGCAGCACACGATCGAATTTGCGCCGGACGGCCGCGTCAAGAGCCTCACCATCACGGCGGATCCCGTCGCGGCGTCGGCCGTGTTTGGCTGCAACGCCACATCCAGTTTGAGTCTCCCAATTGCGTCTGTGGTTGGAAATACAAACCAAGACAACCCGGCAGGCACCGTGCTCGTGCACGTGCTTCGAGGCGAACAAATGGGTGGGCTCGTCGAAGACGCCGACGACTCGGCCACATCTCCCGTGCCGCCGACTCGCCGCCGCCTCTTCCTCGGCATGCGTTTGATCGTGGATGGCAAGACCAACGTGTACGCCCCTCAGTCGTCTCAGAAATGTGTGGCAAAAACAGACTTGTCGACCCTCGACTCGTTTCCGGACCCGATCTGGTCGTCCCAGCACTCACTGCCATTCCAGGGCCTCAGCCGCGGCAAGCCATGCTTTATGTTGATTGAAGCGTGGGGAGTAGTCGACGACACGGACAAGGAAGAGCTCATTGGGGTCGCCAAAGTCAACTTGGCACCGTTCCTGGCCCTCGCGAGCAGCAGTCGCACTGTTCGTGAAAGCGTCGTGCACACCGATATTGCCCGAGGGGCCGTGCCGCAGTGGTACACGCTCCTCAGTGCCAGCGAGACCAAGTTTTCGTGTGGCCGCGTGCAGCTCAGCATCAGCTTCGAGTCGGAACCGACGACGTCGCTGGTCAACACCATTTTCGAAGAAAACGAAGGAAATGAACAGGCCGCCATGTCTGCCGCCGAGGAGTCGGCGCTGCTGGCCGACTCGGCAACCAAAACCATTCTGTCCAAGGAACGATCGTACCGAGACACGCGCCGCGACAACCACTCGTTCCGCGTCGGCAATACCACGTTCGACATCCCGAAGCGATACCAGATGATCAAGGCCGTCGGGCAAGGCGCATACGGGTGTGTTATTGCTGCGAGCGACACTGAGACGGGCCAGTCCCTTGCGATCAAGAATGTGCCGAATGCATTCAACGATCTCGTGGACGCGAAGCGGATCTTGCGCGAGATTCGCCTCATGATGCACCTGAACCACCCGTACTTGGTCAACTTGCTCGACCTCATTCGCCCGACGTCGCTTCGAGACTTCACCGACGTGTATATCGTGACGGACCTCATGGAAACGGACCTCCACCGCGTGATCCATTCCAACCAAACTATCACGGACGACCACTTGCAATACTTTTTGTACCAAATGCTCGTCGCCATCAAGTACGTGCACTCGGCCGAGGTCCTTCACCGTGATCTCAAGCCGAGCAACATTTTGGTCAACTCGGACTGTGACGTAAAACTTTGCGACTTTGGCTTGGCCCGTGGCGTCCAAGGCGTTGACTCTGGACTCACCGAGTACGTCGTGACACGATGGTACCGCGCGCCGGAGCTCCTCTTGAGCTCCAAGTACGACAAACCCGTTGATGTGTGGGCGATCGGGTGCATTTTGGCGGAAATGATCGGCCGTCGACCGCTTTTTCCTGGTCAAGACTACCTGCACCAACTGAAAATCATCATGGACGTGGTCGGGTCGCCAGAAGAATCCTCGCTCGACTTTATTACCAACCCCAAGGCGAAACGATTCATTTTGAAGCAGCCCAAGAAACCGCGGCTGCCACTGAATTCCATTTACCCGCGCGCGACCGACCTCTGCCTCGATTTGTTGGACAAGATGCTCGCATTCGACCCACGCACGAGAATAACGATTGACGATGCGCTCGAGCATCCGTATTTGGCCCAAGTGCGCGACAAGTCGGTCGAAACCACCGCCGACAAACCGTTCGACTTTAGCTTTGAAGATTGCGACTTGACCCGAAAGAAGCTGCAGGAACTCATCTTTGAAGACGTGTGCCACTTTCACCCGGAAACCCTCGAGGAAGTGAGCGACTCGTCCGAGGCAGTCGTGTAATGCCGCAAAAGCAAAATCCTTTGAATTGCTTGAGTGCTCCACCAGAGCATTAAAAGACGGCGAGTGGGGTGGACATCGGGGGCCGCACGAGCGCCGCGTACGACGTGAGCATGGAATCGCTTGTAGGGAACCGCCGCAGGCCTTCCATGAGCAATATCTCGACGCGAATCGACGTGGCCGCCGCGTCCATCGCGTACAGCGGCGGCTTGTCCACTACAGACAACACATCTTCCGGCGACGAAAACGCATGGCCGAGGGACGATACGTCCCACATCAGATTGGCGAAGATCGCGCGCCACGACCAACTCGGTTGGGCGGGGAACGCTTCGACGACTACACCAAAGCGCGCGTGGAGCTGCGTCTTCCACACACGAGACGTTTGCAAGATGTGGCGGATGGCGCGGCAGGTCTTTGTCAGCTGACCCAGCGCCGCACTGTCCAAGTAGACGAATGTAATCTCCAACACTTCGTTTGGGAGTTCGTGGGACGGATGAAGTGGCATGGCTTCTCGATGAGATCGAAAGATGAAAGGGAACTGTCCAGCGGAGATGCAAACGCGCTCTCTCTGCCACGTCGATTCCGTCTGGTGTTTGAAAATGGCGCGGCATGGACTGCTCGAAACGGCGCAACTGTTTCATTCCAAGCACGCGACGTCCATCCAAACATGGTGTCCATGAAAGTAGACTCTCCCGCGCGAATGCTGCAGTGCATGCGGCGTACTAGAGGACGGCGGCTACCGTTGACATGAATTTGGCACATGCTGGTAAGGACTATTGGCCGTTCGAGGACACCAAGGCAGAGACTGGTCGAGGCATTATTCGATGCGTCAAAGCGAATCTTCGATACCGACCGAGTCCCGCGGTGGTAATCGACTGCGACCTCCTCACGTCACAGCATCGTGTGGGCCTCGTGCATGCACGACAACCCAAAGTGTCTGCATCGCTTGCCCTTCGTCAACTAGGTGGATTTCATGCGGTTGGTATGTTGCTGTTGTGGGCTCGACAAAGTTATCACATGAATACTTTTTTGACTGATATTCAGGTTAAGACGATCGTGTTCGTGATATCACATGAATACTTTTTTGACTGAGGATATTCAGGTGATACCAGTCAAATTATTTTATGTCGGGCAAAATGACGTGACTCCACAGCATCACGAACACGATCGTCCTAGTTTTCAAAGACTCGTACGATGTTGCACGACCCTGGTGTTGGCAAGGACCATGTTCCATCGCTTGGCCATGCTAGAGGTCTTGTGTTCCACGTACGAGGCAGGTATATTCCCCCTCATCTCCTCCACCCGATCTCGCCATCCTTTTACAAAGTTGGAACGAACTCGGCGCTTCACATTCTCCCACGCATCCTCGATCCGAGTACGGTCGATGCTGAGGGGGAGGGAGGTCAAGCATTTCAACGGGGGAAAAATGCATCGATTTTTATGGCAGGGGGGGGCATTGCCGTCTTTCAAGGTCAAGTAGACCCCAACCGGATGCGCTTTTCCGGTAGCTGTTCTTGGTCAAGATAGACGGTCGAATCAACCTTTCTGTCAAGTTGGACCCCACTGCATGTTCCTCTTGGACAGGAGGGGCTTGCTTCGTTGTCGAGTTTTGTTTGATACGGCGGAGGACACACGGTTGTCGTGCAAAACGTTTTGTTCACGCAACGATCGGGCGTCGGTTTGCTGTACAGCGCGCTCAACAAGTCGATCTTCCTGGTCAATTGTAGCAGTGTACTTTCATGTATTTTGACTCTGTGTACGACAGACTGCTGAGTAGCATCCAGTGTTTTATCGATTTTGGAAAGCCCGTCGCCGTGGGTTGGAACCACGAGATCTCGCATGCGTCGTGAGTGTTGCTATTTTCGCAAAACGATTGGATATTCACTGCGTCGTCATTGGTGAAGCATGTGCGTTCGAATGACGCCTTGTGACATGGAGAATTATTTGTTCATAAGATTTTTCACCGATTTTTCACACGCTGCACAAAAACTCTATAAATTTGGCCTTGTTGGGTGTTTCCCCCTAATAGACCCCTGACGTTAAGACAAAGTCCCTAACCAATCATCGACAACTCTTCGATTTCATACAAGGGTCTCGGAAATGATTTCGTCAAAACGAAGTACTTCCTCTGTTCCATATTACTGTGTCATTGGAAGCCTTCCAAAAATACCTCAGACAGAGTCTCAGACTTCATCTTATTCGGATGTGAGATCCCATGTGAGATGACATCTGAGATGACAATTTCAACGCGTGCCAACCAATAATACCTGCCGGATAAATTGCTTCTGCATACAAATCACATCACAAAAGTCATGGTTTCAAGCACTCTCTTGCTCATCGCCTACGAGAACCAGCGCCGCC